CTTCATTAATATCACAGTGGAAATTTCAAATGAAAAGCTTTTTACAGCAATATACTCAGCCACTTCTGTTAAATAGGTTTCCTTTCAGATATACAAAATAGATGACACAATCTTGCTCATGTAATTGCTTTCATTGTGGTTTATGTCATCAACTACTCACGGATGTTAATTCCTAATGCAAAAAATGCAATAAGGCTGTTATATTTCTGCTGTAGGTGGTCTTTTTCATACACGATTGAGGAGTGAAAAGGTACGTATTACTTTGGATTTCCTTACAGCATAAAAAAAAAGGGTCTGAGCATAGTAATAGCTATGTTCTGTAATTCAGACTGCCTGAAAAATACGCATTGAATAAAAGTGCCATCTGTTTAAAGAACTAGTGATGCTTTTAGAGCCAAACAGCAGGAAAACTTCCAGCGCCAAGTTCTACAGTATCAAAAAGTCATGAATGCAAGCTTTACAGCAAATGCTATTAAACCTAACAGCCAAACCCACCAAAAGATAGATAGATAGATGTAGGATGAAGCTTGAAAACCATGAACTGCAAACACAGAATATGCTTTAACAGAAAATTCCCAGATATTTTACCAAGGAATATGATAGGTTCTCCATAAGCTTCTGTTCTTATATTAAATGTGTATGTCTTTCTACTATACCTAAATCACCAAGTGTTGGCTTCAGCACCCAGGTTGCTCTGCAGACTATTACTGTCTGTGATATGCGCTCAGATCATCACGTTAGATAATGGCCTTATATGTATGCATCTACGAAATGCAGAGAGGACTCCCCAAAGTTAACTAATAACCCAAAATAGTGATCCAAGAAGAGACTGAAACTACAAAGAATTCTGCCAAACTGCACGCAGATTCATTTCCCTTACTCTCCAAATCTTTCTCTTTAGGGAAGGCATGTATCTTCTCTAAGGTGAGTGGAAGTCATTTAACGTATCTCAGGCATTCAGAGAACAAAGAAGCTGTAAAATTCAAAGTGCCCAACAAAGAGGAAACAAACACAAATATTTTACTGGTATTACTGAAGCCCAAAATGTATAAATCAACGAAGAGGAAACGAACACAAATATTTTACTGGTATTACTGAAGCCCAAAATGTATCACCATATCACTCTGCCTTCCTCTAAATTTTGAGGAGTATGGGTGACAAAAAAGGAATATGTAAGACCGGATAGGGAACACAAGCTTGTATCAATTTTTTTTCAGAAGGGCTGTTTTCCAGAAAGGGTGTCAATGTATTCTTTCACAAAGAAAAAGGATGTACTGATTAGACTGGTCCCAATATGTTGTACAAGGGCTTTGCAAAGGTACACGTTGGAAGAAGCACGTGAGAAAATTTGTCCTAGGTAGGAAAAGACCACCATAATCAATCTTGAGTCTCAATAAAAGAATTAAGAGCCCTGAAAACAACTGAGGAAGGGAAATGAACATACAGAACTCATGATCTCTCTACTTTTTCTTGGCTGGCAAGGAAAACTACCTGAAGTGATGAATTCCTACAGTATCATTTTAAGGATCAAGGTTCCACCTTCTTTTTGTCCATCACAGAATCCTAGGGCATAGCACAACTTAATTCACAGTCCCAGTCAGGGGGGAAACCTAGCAAAGATTACACCTCCCGTAGTACAATTCCCTTCAGAGCTCTTCCTGAAACTGCCTGACTGTACCACCCTTTAGTCAGTGCTAGTTCTTGATGAGAACATTGACTTCTTTGTCTTTGTTCCTTGTTAAGAACTTCAAAAAGGAAACTAAAGTACCAATTAATTGGTATTCTGAGTGGGACTAATTCAAAGGTGTCTTCTGGTACCTTGGGATATGGTCTGTTCTACTTTGGAGAGAATCAATCAGTCAGAGATTGATGAAGGGGTGGTGAGGTCAGGTTTGCAAATACAGAACCATCTGCAGCGTCTCCTGGGTTGGTACCTGCAGCATAGTAATTTACAGGAGCAGGTGTTTCCTTTTAATCTACATTTTTTTCTGCTGAAATTGTAACTTTATTGAGAAAGTGCCTGCAGTTTGTTATTAAGAGGCTAGTTTGTTTATCATTGCTATTAACTATTAACTGCTGAAAGGTTTCTCAAAGTTGTAGTAACCATACTCCTTAAAAACACAGGTAAGAACAGAGACTGTGAGGTTAAATATGTCAGTCAATCAGACACATCTTCAGAAAGCTCTATGCATAAATATACTAAAGTCCAAAAGGCTGTTTTTAAAACCGAACTATGTTGTTCAGAAAAGAGCCATTTTCTCTGAATATAGGTGAGTGAAATTATCATAGTCATTAAGATTATAATTTATTTCTGTTTACAGCCATAAATATTTATGGGGAAAGGAGGCTTTCTGAGACACGGATAATTCAAGAATTCCAGCTGGAATTTCCCACCTGAACTGATCTCGGTGGGACGGGTGCTCTGGTAAGTCCCCTTTGGTTTGGATCCAAAGCACAGCAAAAGGTCAGCAGAGAATACATTTGGATTCAAATTCCAGTTCCTGGCTTGGTTGCACCTCATACTCTGCTCCAGCTCTACCATAATCTACATAATCTCTTCTCCAGCCTAACTCCCAGATCACACAAACTGTCTTCGCATCATTCACTTCAACAAGTGGCAAACTGAGGACATGCCCTTGTGTTTTAACTCTAAGCATCTAGTACAGAGTCTCCACAGGCACCACACCTCCTCCTCCTTTTCCTGCTCCTCACAACCTACTTCAATCTCCTCCAAACTCATTCCTCTTCTCCTACTCCTCACAAACCTACTTCAATCTCCTCCAAACTCATTCCACTTCACCATTCTAGAAATTTTCTTGAGAATTTTTCTTGGGTTTGCCTAATGCATTTTATCTACCCTGCAATTTTTAACAGGACAAAAATTACGAATGGGAAAGGGGTTTCTTGGTTTGGGTGCAACACCAAAAAAAGTCACAGAACACTGGCAAGCAGATAAAACTTAGGCTTATATGATCCATGATATTAGAAGCCAGGAAAAATGCTCCTTTACCAAACAGTGAGGCAAAAACACGAGTCAAAGTGAATCTCTCACTAAAGAAACAACAGAGTTAGAAATGTTTGTTTTTTCATATTGTGTTTTAGGCATTAAGTCTAAACTAAAGGTCTTAGTCTACAACTGACCTGTAGTAAAAAAACATTCATACTTTTTAACTCCCTGGTAATATATTGGGTTTTGTTATTCCATTTTCCCATTCTTCTGAAAATGTTCAATTATGGTTTGTAGTAAATTTTAGGAAAGAAAAGAAGGACAGTGACTCAGCAATTGAGAAAAATCCCTTGTTCTGTCTTTTTGTTTCAATCTGGTAATTACTTTAAAGACAGATCCACTCCTCCAGAAAAATTAAAATTAAAAAAAAAAATTAGAAGTCACAATCAAACTGCTTAGTTGGCAGATTTTTCCATTTTTAATTGAACTTATTTAATTTTTACCTGATTGGGCATCACTCTTAATTTTAGTTTCCTTTTTTACTTCTGGGAAAGTTCCCTCTGGTCCTGGTGTGTTTCCCTGTCACTCTGATGAATACTGAGACACAGAAATCCTTAATTTTAATTTAGTTTCCTTTTTTACTTCTGGGAAAGTTCATTTTTCCATTTTTAATTGAACTTATTTAATTTTTACCTGATTGGGCATCACTCTTAATTTTAGTTTCCTTTTTTACTTCTGGGAAAGTTCCCTCTGGTCCTGGTGTGTTTCCCTGTCACTCTGATGAATACTGAGACACAGAAATCTTTCCTTTCCCAGAAATAACTGCCTCATCTGTTGCTAATTTCCCTTCCTACCCGTTAAGAAACACATGGCTCCATTCTATGACCTCTTGCTGTGTACACATTCATGAAATCAATTATTTCCACCTTTTGCAAAATTTTCCGATTTTGATAACAACTTTTCAATACACATTTCCTGTCTATTCTTATCTAGATAACACAAAAGAAATGCAAAGTATTTTCACCAATCCTTTAAGCAAATCTGTTAAAATGGCTTGCTGAATTAAAAAATGGCTTTCCAATTGCTTTTCGTCCCTTTTAGCTGTACATTCATTTCCACTGCAACAAACTTATATGGTTTCTCTTGCTCAGTGGATTGGTTTTTTTCTTATTTTGCTTCCTTCCTTATGGATAAGTGCTTTCTTCCTGGCCTCCACAACAGCTATGTCCCTGCAGAGGCACACTTCACTTAATGGCCTTCTGTTGGACACTCTCATGATAAATGTCTCTCAAGCACACCCTGTGCTACAGTCTTAATTAAGACAGCAGAACAAAACATTTCTGCAAATCCTCTGCACCAGGAACACTAAACAAAGAGACACTGCATTTTTCCAACCTTCTACTTAAGGTTGGAAAATTCACTTAATTTATCTTCACTTAATTTATATTTCGATTCAACATTTTGATTTAATCAAAACAATGCAAACGACCTATTTTCTTAAAGAAACATTAGAATTCAAACTTTTATGTTAATAATTGTAATATTATATGGGCAGTTCCAGAAAACAAAGTTTTATTTAATTAATGAGGAAGGCATAGCAACTTCCATTAAAAAAGAGTCCATGGAAAGTCCATAATGATGAAGTCTGCATGAAGTTCTATAGCACTCAAAGATTGTATTTACTGCTACAAGGACCCAGGAATTGTGTTGCATAGGTTGAAGATCAAATGGCACTAATGTTTATTTAAATTTTAGTAGGCTTTTCACAGAAATCAACCTTTAAGTACTTTTTCCTTCCTGCATTTTCTGTGCTGACTTTGGCTTTTGGAAATTAACTTAATTAAACATCGTTGTGTTCCTCTTTTGCTTGATATGAAACTCATGCAATTCTGAATTCTCATTTCAAGTGTAATCAGACATTTACTTGGTGCTGAGGCTACAGCATTCAGGATCTTGCTCAAAGTAAAGACAGTTAAGTTAGATTAACTATATACAGCTAATCAAACCAACAAGTAAGTCCTTCGCGTGAAAACACAAAGCAAGGCCACACAAATTCTAAATTATTTTATTTTATTTGTCACAACAATTAGTTTCTGTTGCTGTTAACTAAAAATGTGCAATGTATTAAAATAAGTGTTAGTGAGTTATTAGGATCACCAGGTCAACTACACAGTATTTCAGGAGAATAAAGTTGCTACTCAGAAAATGAGTGTTCTTTTTCTTGCCACTCTCAGCAGCCTTGCTTGTTTTGCATATGGTTGCATATTTAATTAGCAATCCTTCTGTAAGTGTCTGCAATTAGCACAATGATGATTAATAAAATAACTCCTTTAAAGCTCCATTTAGGCAGCAGAACTGCACAATCAGGTATAATTAATTCATGATTAATAAATCACGGCTGATTAACTAATCTGTTGATTACAAACACATTACTGCAAAGTCTCCCACCTGAGCTCTGGTGATTTTTCTATCCTGAACAGAAATAGAGACTAAGTAGTAGTAAGCTCTAAAAAAATCCATTAGGCAGCAAAGATATTGGTTTGGTCAGGAAATTCAGATAGCAAATATATTTAAAATTTACTGGGCTTTGTTCATTATTAGTCCCCGTGAGAAAAAAAAAAATTGTACTGTCAATTTGTTAAATGGGAACGAGTGAACAATAATTGCTTCTTTAGTTCATTTATATTCTTAAGGAAGTTTTACTCTTAAAGTGTTTTGTTGTTTTTTTTTTTCCCCAAAGCATCTCAGATTATAGGCTGGGCTAGATTCACTCTTTGCATAAGCCTGTAGGAAGCAGCAAATGCAGCAAAACAAGATTGCAATATTGCTCCCCAAGAAGATCCACATCATTGGATCTTTTCTTCACTTTGGGAGAAGGAAAGGCCAAGGGAGCTGCTAAATATGTCATTGGAACATTGCTGTTAAGCTGCCTCCATAGCCACATCTTGCATCTGATGATGAGTCCATGTTTATAAACCACATTTCAGGTCAAAGATCTTCAACAAGATTGAATACAGACCAAGAACATGCATCTCCTTCTGGAGATTCCTTGTCTTCATCACCTAGGTCTTGAGCTTTGTCGTGCATTTAAATCATATTTTTGATATGTTCTTTGTAGCAGCAGGAGCTAGAAACTTTTATTTCACACACGGTTACTTGCCTCCAGCTACTCGGGCTTAAGTAACCTGTTAGTTATGAGTTATGATAAAATTCAAAGTAACTGGAAATAGGAGAACTTGGCACAACTGAATTCCTCATCATTTATAAAAGGCATCCAGCTGTGCCCATAGTATGAAAATGCCTCTGAGTTCAAAATATTTCATCCTGAAACATTGCAAAGAAAAAGAACTAAAGCAAAGCTTAGGACAAAAGCAAGTTGAAAGGGAAAAGAGAGTTTTAGCTACAGTAAATAAAACAGTTCAATATCCCTAATAACTCCAGAGAAAGACAAGAACATTAAAGGGAAAAGTGACAAAAGCTGAAGCAGAACACTTCATGAAGAAAATTACAGGAGAAACTTTTAATTCAGGAGCAGATGTCCAGTCTTTGGAAAGTAAGTGCTAGTGCTGTAACTAAGAAAGTTTTCTTTCAGATTTTAACCAGCTTTATGTGCATCACTATGTCAGTCTCTTAAATTCTTCTGCTACAGCTTTAATTAAAAATGTTGACTAAGCAGCAGTACTATAAGCCATCACAATACCATTCATCTTTGAAAAATACTGCTGATAAAATAGAACTATGAAGCACATTTTAAACCATTTATGTTTTTTTCATTTTTTTATGGAAGGAAATTAACGAATATATGAGCATCACTTCAATATATGGCAGAGAAAATATTACTTTTTTTTAAAGGACTGTAGTCTGATTTCATGCAGAATGACTGAATGCGGGAGAAGTTTGACTGTTTTATCAATCTCAGAAAATTTTACAATTCAATTGAGGAAGAAGGAGCGGCTTTTAACATAGAATTTGGAAATAAAGAAAAGAATCATTTAAAAGCAGAATAACAAGATAGCTGTCCTTGGACAGTTTCTGAGGTCAGTGTACATATGAAATGGCAAGATCAAAGTGAAGAAAACAATACCAAGGATCCTGAAGATTAGAGTGAGCATTGTCAAACAATTTTTTAGAAGGGAAAATAAGTAATCAGAGACTTCTGAGGACAGCAGTGATTCATTGCCTAGAGCAAGAATATAGATATAAGCAGCAGAATATGAATAATGGGAAGGTGTGGGAGATGAAATTGTTAGTGTCAATTTCTTCAGAAAGTCAGGTTTCCTTTTAATACAATAGCAATTTGCCCCGCAATGTCAACTCTTCCATCATTACGCAGTGAAATCTTCAACTCTCCTCCACGGCGGGAACACTGAAAAGCTAAATGGAAACAAGAATCCACAGTTAAAAAACTAGTATCTTTCACAAATTATTTAAAAATCCATGAAAACTCAGGGAAATGATGACTGCGTCCAGAAAGCAAGCAGTAGCAGGGAAAGCTCTGTACCAGGGACACCCTGAATGAAGATTAGCTGAGGGTGTATCTCAGACTAGAACTTGGCTATTGAGTCTGACAAAGACGCCAGTTAATACAAGTAGCGAAGGACAGTTCACTGCGATGTAGCCAACCAAGTTTCCTTTGAATATCTAAAAAAGTCTTGAATTCTCCCATTCATGGGATAGAGAGTTTCTGTAGGTAAGAAGGCAGAACACCTGACTATTATCTGCATGAGCATGAAGAACCTGTTTATCAGCACTGAACATCTGAAGTAGACACTAGGTTCAAAGAATGTGTGTAGCTAAAGGGTAAATAAAACTCAGTCAGTGGAAAAAGTCTACAAAGGAACATAGATGCTGCTTCAGCTGTCACAAAATTCTTACCTAGACAGGAACAGACACTGATCTATGTGATCCTGAATATATAATTTAATACAGCTGGATAAAGTTTAAGGAGAAATAACCTCCCACTTGTAAATAATTACAAAATTGAACATTTGTCTAAACTGTTCAGTCATATACAGGTGGGCTGATAACGCTGACTGGGTCTGTAGGCTTGTTTCAGCCCTCCCATTTCAATTGCAGCACTACTTGATCAGAAAATGTCAATTGCAGCACTACTTGATCAGAAAATGATCTGGTTCGGACAGTATTTACAAAGGTTTGAGTTTCACACAGTGGTGTTTTTGTAAAAGGCCATAAATGGATGATGAGGCATTAACATTCACAATCTCCTTATTCAATGGATTTCCAACAACTGCAAAAGTTGTTTAAAGCCAAAGGGCATGTTTTTCCTCATGACCCCCCAATTTGTAAATTGGGTAGAGATTGTATTCAGGTCACAACAAAGCGTAGGATCTCTAACAGATGGCATATATACTGTACACTCTAAAACCATTTCTCAGCCACAGCTGATAAGAAACCTCTTCCTTATAACAGGATATTAGATTCTCAGACAAAGCAAATGCTCCAAAAGAGTGGAAACAGGAGCTATAGAAAGATTGATTTTGATAATTTTGGCATGCTGAGTCTGTAGGCTTGTTTCAGTCCTCCCATTTCAATTGCAGGACTACCTGATCAGAAAATGATCTGGTTCGGACAGTATTTACAAAGGTTTGAGTTTCACACAGTGGTGTTTTTGTAAAAGCCTATAAATGGATGACAAGGCATTAACATACACAATCTCCTTATTCAACGGATTTCCAACAGCTGCAAAAGTTGCTTAAAGCCAAAGGGCATGTTTTTCCTCATGACCCCCCAATTTGTAAATTGGGTAGAGATTGTATTCAGGTCACAACAAAGCGTAGGATCTCTAACAGATAGCATATATACCATACACTTTAAAACCATTTCTCAGCCACAGCTGATAAGAGACCCCCCAATTTGTAAATTGGGTAGAGATTGTATTCAGGTCACAACAAAGCGTAGGATCTCTAACAGATAGCATATATACCATACACTTTAAAACCATTTCTCAGCCACAGCTGATAAGAAAACTCTTCCTTATAACAGGATATTAGATTCTCAGACAAAGCAAATGCTCCAAAAGAGTGGAAACAGGAGCTATAGAAAGATTGATTTTGATAATTTATGTTCTTTTCCATTTATAGAACTACAAGATATTGCTTTTAAGTCATCAGAACAGTATCTATGTCTGGAGTACTGCCTTCAATTGGAGTATTTTGGACACTTAAAGATCCAGAACATGCTACACTTGAGTGGCAATAGTATACACAATCTAATACACAGCTAAACTCTCCCACTCTCTCATGATAGCAAGCTTGCATAAAAGAGATCAATTATTTCAAACCTTCAGAGGTTGGTTGGGTGGTTTGGTTTTTTTTTTCTTTCTTTAAATGTGGAGCCAAGTGCTGAGTTCCATGGCAGGGTTACTGAGACTGTTTTGACACTGGTCCATTTTATTTTATTTTTAGGGAAACATTCAAAGTAGGAAAAAACCCCAAAAAGACAGAAAAGAAAATGTTACCCAAGTTTATATGAAAAAACCACTTGACCTTTTCTTTCTCTTGCACAGAAGCATTGCTATTTCATGCTATGTCTGAAAGCAGACAGACCTACATGGAACATTTGGCAGAAATTTTATACTTGTGTATAATTCTGATGTGGTCATTTTTTACATTGAGATTACCTGGGAACGATGGAAGCTGCAATTACAACTCTGCAAAACTCTTCACTTCATGAGAAACCAAATTAGCAAAAACTTAAATACAGGTAGATTAATTCTACCTGAATAAAGCAATTTCTTCACATAAAAAGAAAAAAAAAGGGCAAGGAGACTGAAAAGTTAGAAGATGGGACAGACTCTGTTTTGAAAGAAATCCTGGCAAAATTTTTAAAAGTATGATCTTACAGTTATTAAAGTAAGGCTTGGTTTTTGGTTGGTTGGTTGGTGTGGTCCCTCCCCTCAAAAAAAATCACCACCAAACACAAAACCTCAAATGCTATAAAACTTGTTCTGTACTGGGAAGGAATCAGAGAAGAGAAAAGAAGTAACAAGAATCAAAATTTCCCCACAAATACATAAAGTTGTCTGAAGTAGACAGGTTCAGAAAGATTCCTCTAGCTTCACCTGAGATTACCTTCTCTTCACAATAATTTGGAAAGGCCTCTATAATCTGTTTGGTTTTACTGAATTCCTTATGCACGCTTATAAAAGTTATCTTAGAAATGTGAAAACTGTGTGAAGGTCTGGATACAGAGACAGTTGCTAAATATTGCACTCATTAGCAATTATGAAAGTCTATACATCTGATATGAGAGATTACAATGTTTTAAATATTGCAAAGACTCTTCAAATAATAAAAAAAAAGGCAAGAACTGATACTGAACTCTGATTTAACATTCAGCTTAAATTCAATGATATGTACATAGTTTCAAGAAAGACCATAAAGTATTTCACCTTGTAAAAAGACTGGAAAATTCTCTTTGTAGTTCATGGGGGTGGTTATTGACAATTTGGTCTAATAAAAGTAGGAAGAGAACCCAAACACAGGAAATTATGACTCATACTTCAGTAGAGATGCAGCTGACCTCCTCCTGGAGGTCACAATACCCAGAGAGATCTGACAATGGATTTAATGTTCCTCATTTTTATATTATTTCATATCTGATCTATTTTGGAACTAACGGATCTTTCATTTTATGGAAGAAAATCTTCCTTTGTTCTTGTAATAATAGGTATCGGATATTACAGATGCTACTGCAAAGGTTTCTAAAAAGTCAAAATGTGCTCTTATTTATTAACCTTTGGTGGTATGCAATCTGCTTGATTGCCAGCCATCACTTCCAAATGATCTCATTAGAGACAGGATTTGCCCCAGTACTACCTGATACCCCTCATGAATGTAAGGAAAAGTTATTTCTCATAAGCACAAATCAAGGCATTAACATACACAATCTCCTTATTCAACGGATTTCCAACAGCTGCAAAAGTTGCTTAAAGCCAAAGGGCATGTTTTTCCTCATGACCCCCCAATTTGTAAATTGGGTAGAGATTGTATTCAGGTCACAACAAAGCGTAGGATCTCTAACAGATAGCATATATACCATACACTTTAAAACCATTTCTCAGCCACAGCTGATAAGAAAACTCTTCCTTATAACAGGATATTAGATTCTCAGACAAAGCAAATGCTCCAAAAGAGTGGAAACAGGAGCTATAGAAAGATTGATTTTGATAATTTATGTTCTTTTCCATTTATAGAACTACAAGATATTGCTTTTAAGTCATCAGAACAGTATCTATGTCTGGAGTACTGCCTTCAATTGGAGTATTTTGGACACTTAAAGATCCAGAACATGCTACACTTGAGTGGCAATAGTATACACAATCTAATACACAGCTAAACTCTCCCACTCTCTCATGATAGCAAGCTTGCATAAAAGAGATCAATTATTTCAAACCTTCAGAGGTTGGTTGGGTGGTTTGGTTTTTTTTTTCTTTCTTTAAATGTGGAGCCAAGTGCTGAGTTCCATGGCAGGGTTACTGAGACTGTTTTGACACTGGTCCATTTTATTTTATTTTTAGGGAAACATTCAAAGTAGGAAAAAACCCCAAAAAGACAGAAAAGAAAATGTTACCCAAGTTTATATGAAAAAACCCTATGTCTGAAAGTAGATAGAACTACATGGAACATTTGGCAGAAATTTTATACTTATGTATAATTCTGATGAGGTCAATTTTTACGTTGAGATTACCTGGGAATGATGGAAGCTGCAATTACAACTCTGCAAAACTCATGAGACTTCACTTCATGAGAAATCAAATTAGCAAAAACTTAAATACAGGTAGATTAATTCTACCTGAATAAAGCAATTTCTTCACATAAAAAGAAAAAAAAAAAAGGCAAGGAGACTGAAAAGTTAGAAAATGGGACAGACTCTGTATTGAAAGAAATCCTGGCAAAATTTTTAAAAGTATGATCTTACAGTTATTAAAGTAAGGCTTGGTTTTTGGTTGGTTGGTTGGTGTGGTCCCTCCCCTCAAAAAAAATCACCACCAAACACAAAACCTCAAATGCTATAAAACTTGTTCTGTACTGGGAAGGAATCAGAGAAGAGAAAAGAAGTAACAAGAATCAAAATTTCCCCACAAATACATAAAGTTGTCTGAAGTAGACAGGTTCAGAAAGATTCCTCTAGCTTCACCTGAGATTACCTTCTCTTCACAATAATTTGGAAAGGCCTCTATAATCTGTTTGGTTTTACTGAATTCCTTATGCACGCTTATAAAAGTTATCTTAGAAATGTGAAAACTGTGTGAAGGTCTGGATACAGAGACAGTTGCTAAATATTGCACTCATTAGCAATTATGAAAGTCTATACATCTGATATGAGAGATTACAATGTTTTAAATATTGCAAAGACTCTTCAAATAATAAAAAAAAAGGCAAGAACTGATACTGAACTCTGATTTAACATTCAGCTTAAATTCAATGATATGTACATAGTTTCAAGAAAGACCATAAAGTATTTCACCTTGTAAAAAGACTGGAAAATTCTCTTTGTAGTTCATGGGGGTGGTTATTGACAATTTGGTCTAATAAAAGTAGGAAGAGAACCCAAACACAGGAAATTATGACTCATACTTCAGTAGAGATGCAGCTGACCTCCTCCTGGAGGTCACAATACCCAGAGAGATCTGACAATGGATTTAATGTTCCTCATTTTTATATTATTTCATATCTGATCTATTTTGGAACTAACGGATCTTTCATTTTATGGAAGAAAATCTTCCTTTGTTCTTGTAATAATAGGTATCGGATATTACAGATGCTACTGCAAAGGTTTCTAAAAAGTCAAAATGTGCTCTTATTTATTAACCTTTGGTGGTATGCAATCTGCTTGATTGCCAGCCATCACTTCCAAATGATCTCATTAGAGACAGGATTTGCCCCAGTACTACCTGATACCCCTCATGAATGTAAGGAAAAGTTATTTCTCATAAGCACAAATAGAGACCACATGTTGATCAGATGTCAAATGAATTTGTTCTCTTTAAATCTATTTTGTATGATTTCTACCACAAAAGAAGTTTGATGAATACATATGCATGAAGTATGAAATAATATTTAAAACAAACAAACAAACAAAAAAAAAAATCTATCTTGTGGGCAAATAGGACTTTTTTTGTGCCAAACATATTAGAGAAGCTAATTATAGTATAAATTGTCTTTGATGCTTGAGATAAGTTTGTTTAAAAGAGGAAATGGCACAGTACACACAAAATACAAAATGAAAATGCAAAACAGGTAGAAAGCATCATCTAAAAATACAGACAGAATTCCTGTCTGTTTGATTACTTAAAGAAGCAGTGTCTATAGATGGCATGGAAGGGTTTTAAATTCCACATTAATATCCAGAAATGTCAAAATCTTCTGCAAAACAGTCCATAAGGATGCATTACCAGAGACAATTTCTCCTCTTCAGAAAATAATTTGGGATTTTTCCCCCCAACATTATGGAAACTATCACAGGTATGTCTGATGTAAATGCAAATACGAGATCTTCAGAATAGAACGTCAAATCTTTTGTTCAATTAATGATAGAGAAGGCGTCTGTCATTGTAGATTACCATACTGGTCTATGCAGCACAAAACTGATCCTTTGAAGAGCTTATCATTCTCAAGAAAATCCATTTTGAGATTAATTTGACCAAATATAGGAAGGCTTGTATTTATGATAGCTGTTTGTTTGGAAAGTGTTTACCTTTATGGACAAGGAACAGTATTAGATCAAGGATCCAATCTGTGTTCTAAACTAAATGTTACCAAAGATTTAGTCAGTGCAGGACTTAGTGCAGGAAAAAACTGTAATCCCCTGCCCCCTCTTAGAGAAACAGACGGGGACTAGGGTATTGTGTTTTGCTTCTGTTGTTCTTCCATTCTCTGGCAAAGCACTAGACACATGAGAAGCAAACAGACACCCAATGCCTCTTTATCTAGTGTTGTCATGTATTAACACTTTCTCTTGTTTTTTTCCACCAAGATCTTCAGCTTCTTGCTTAACGACAAATATGTGACTTAATAAGCATATCTCAGTGATTGAAAGATTACCAACAAATCTGTTCTTTGACTTCAGAGTTAATCTCAAATTCCCTTAAGCTTAATCATTTAAAGGTAAGACTGCAAATAAATTACAAACAAATAAAGTTTGCCAGTATCTTGTCCCCATTCTTATATATTTATTGTCAGTCTTTCTGTTTCTGTAATGTAAGTGACTATTGTTTCTTACACCCTTCCTTGCTACCATGTAAAAGATCATCATCCTGCGGAAAACCGATCTTCATACCTAAATATTCAGATGCAAGAGAAACCAGAAAAAAACCCTGTACCATAAAGCACATTCTGTAAGTAGAATCTGAACATTAAAAATACATCATCTCTTCTTATGTGGCTATAACAACACTAGTTATTCTGGGCCCTAAGCTTCCTAAAGAAGATACTGAAGGGATTAATCTGGAGTAATTCTGAAGAAAATTCCAAAATCAGGCAGAAACCTTATGACTTTTTTCAATCTCATCTTAATATACAAGAAGGGAAAGGAAAACACTGTTCAAATTCAACTGAAAATTACACATTGTGAGTGAAAATACCAATTACCTTTTTCCCCGATACCCAAAGTGCAAGCCATAAAGACCAAGAAGTAAAGTAAAATTCAATCACAAAAACAACACACAAAACCAACAGCTTCTGAAGTTCACCAAGCTTCAGTTATGATGAAAGGTCATGAGAAATAAATTCCAAAAACTGAGACTTCAAACTCCCTGCAGGCATGATGTGTCATATTGGTGGGTAGGAAAGAAAGCAATTTTTTAAAGATTACCTCACACACAAAATATTGCATAGTATTCCATTAATACTGAGGAAATGTATAGGGAGTTATTGCTACAGTTTGGATTGTAGTAATAATAATAATACAGTGAGTAACTTTTACATAAATGGGCAGCTTTGCAAGAAAACAATTTCTCTTACCGAGCATCTCTTTCTTCCCCAGCTGCTCTGACCAGTAGCTGCTTAAAACAGCATGGGCAGATCCTTAAAAGAAAATGGAAAACAGAGTACAGAATTAAATTATAATCACTACTTTCTCAAGCAAGCACATTCAAAATGTAAATGCCATAAACAAATCAAGTGCCACGTGTGTCTAGGGCAAAAATACCTAGGAGTTTGCAGAGCAGACAGAATACTTTAATATTTCTTTTATCTTTGACAAAACAGCATTAATTCCTCATCCTCTGGCTTCAGTAGAAGCGTTGCCTAGGTGAGGGCTTCATGATTAGCCACAACTGGTAGGAATAAAAAACAGTACCCATTAAAATATTTGAGCCAAAGTATTAATTGTTCACCAGAAGTGAAGTTTCCTAACAGAATCTAATAATAGAATCCCAAAATACTGAATTCAAAATATTATTCATCTAGACATGATGTTATTCAATGAAATATGAATGACCATCCATCAAAAAGCCCAACAGGCTTCTGGATATTTTTTTAAGAATAGGAACAGGTGGATAGAAGTCACTGTAAAACTAAGACATTTCCTCTCCTAACGGTTTTTACACTAAAACCTCAGGGTTTTTTCAATGTTGAATGCTGGTAAATATCAGGATGTAACTCAGAGAGATCTTTAAGGTCTCACCACAGCTTCTGAAAGCTAAAAGACCAATTAATTTCTCGTTTCCTGACTGGCAGATGGCTTAAAAACTTAGAATGATTTCTCAGATTCATAGCTAGAGATGCTGCTTCAGTCTACATTAGCAGCTAGGGGCAAAGACACTCTGCTGGAAACCCTACAGTGAAGTAACTATAATTATCAGGGCTCAAGGACAGCAGGACATGTAGCATTATTAACAAATTGTTACAAAAGAAATATAATACAAAGCCGTAACACTGTTGAAAGTACACTTCAGCAATACAATAAAAAGATTTATTTTTACAAAAGAAAGAACACAAAGATGGAAGACAAGCAACAGTGAGCTATAACAAGCCTAGAAAAGTCTCAGATATTCAGGAAACTTCTAGCTTTTCCTACATGTCTACTAGTCTTCCCAGAAACGTTAAGGAATGAGCTCTGGGATTAGATATGTTATTCAGACTCTCTCCAGCTTTATCAGGAAAGCATGACTGAAAGCTTAAAAAAATAACTAAAATACATGGCTTATATTTCTTTGTAAACCTTTCTTTCAACGAAGAAAGTTTTCTCTTTATTTAGCAAAACATTTAATGAGCATTTTTGACCAAATTCTCAGCTGACTAATAATTAACCTGTAATTAACTGGTACCTAAGCAAGTAACATGATTCTGCAGCAATCGTCACACCTACTGAGAGCAACATCAAGGGAACAGGCAGAGAACTGGCCTTCCTGCCCCTAAATGTTACAACTCTTTGAGTTCACATTATTCATAGGCCTGAGAATATCCACAGTGTCACGAATGTACAGCAGATCTCAGCTGAAGCAGAAAAAAAATATACAGAACACGAACAGAAGTGGATATGAACTTCTACTCCAATACTCATTCAATACCAAACCAGTCTCTCACTTTTCTTTAATTGGAATACTTCAGGGAAAAGATCTAAAGATGGCACAGCAATATGTGGCCTGGTGACAGCAAGAAGAGGATTTTTTCTGAATAAGTTGGCATCAGCCATGAAAGTTTTCAGTTTAATGAGCACACTCTTGCTGTAGATATAAAACTATAATTTATAAGAAAGACTCCAAAGTACAAAACCAGATTAATGAAGTTTAATAAGAAGCTTTTAATTGAACTGAAACAAGAGTAAGAGTCACTTATCACGCACGTACCTGTAACAGGGTCTTCCAGAACTCCATACCAAGGTGCAAAATATCTGGAGTAAAAATCATGGCCTTTCTCTTTTCCACTGGAATTTCCCTTAAGAGTGAGTATGAGTCCTTTCACTTTTCCTGTCTTTTCAGCTGACAAAAAGCGTTGTGCGCTCACTTGCAGTCCTTCCAACACAGACCTTGAATATAATGATAGATCTTTAATGGTCCATATTCTTCATTTTTACATTAATTTAAGTATTGAAAAGAAACAGAAAACTACAAAATCATCTTCTCTACAATCCCCAAAACAGCCACGGTGAAATGTTAAGAGTGGACAAGATTCCTAGCATTGTCCTCCCAACGGCATTTGACCAAAGACTACTCTATGAATTCTGTACACTCTGAGTGAGCAGAGAAAAAAGTTCAAGTCATGCATTTCCTATTTATTTCTGAAAACAGAGCATCCTGGAATATGAGCTACAAAAATGCACACTTCTGTTTCAACATTCTAATCACTGAAAGAAATACTTCATCACTACAGAATGCAAAGAGTAAGCACTCCATCTCCTTTCAGAGCAAGCGAACAACTAACACCATTTAGACCTTCATGGAATTCATGACTCTACAACAGTCTGAACCCTGTGAAGGTGCAGATTTCTCCCTACAAAATAAAGTCTGAAAGAGTAAAAATAATAAGTACTCAACTGAGAATATTTCTATCTCCTCACTAGCCCAATCTTTAAACATTAGACCAAACTTCAAGAAAAGTAATTGGGCCTGATTCAAGAATTCATGTTCCAGCAATATATATCCAAATCATACTTGACTTAGCAATGAAATTCAGCTCTCTGAGAATAACAAATGCTTTGAAATAATTTGAATTGGAATTTCCTTTATAAAGCTACTTATGAGCTGTTAAGTATGTGTAAGAAGATTACAGTCAAATGGAACAGGAATCCATGGCATCCTGTCAATGTGCCCTGTCTCACTAAGTGGAACTCTATAGTTGCGCGACTATTACTTCTTCATTTGAGAAGCAAGACTCCTAATTTCCTGTTAGGTTACTAGATGTTTTTTGTTGTTTTTTTTTACTCAGATGGACAGGGAAAATATAACATCATTAAAACTGTTTCCTACACCACCTTTTCTTGGAGACAGATTTCAGACTGATCTTATGTAGCTTTGCAGGTTCAATAAGCTCACATGAGAAGATAAAACAACTATTTAGCACAGGAGTTTCAATGAAAGTTTTTGAACTCCACCTGTTTTAAAGCCAGATAAAAGAGCCTAGTGAGTAAGGAATAGAGGCTAAACAAGGAGACTCAATTTCTGCACACTTGATTTAAAAAAAAAAAAGTCTAAGACACCTGTCATAAGCATCACTGAGGCGGACTAAGAGTTTCTTTGTGTCAGGAGAGTAACGCAGGTCTTGAACAATCATGTCACCAACGGCTGCCTGGTGGAAAAGACAAAGGAATACATCATCATTTGAATATGAAGTATTATTTCCTTAACATTTTCATGGAACAAAATCCCTGCTAGAACAGGGCTTATACAAAGTCTTTCACGCAGCCCTCAAATACACGAAAAGTAAATGCACTAAGTGCTTAAGTGCGTGAAGGGACATGAGTAGGTGCTAAGAGCTCTGCCTATGTCAACTTGGAAAGAAATTCAGGGACCTAGAAGAGGGCAAGGACACCAGATTGCCCTCACATGCATACAATAGGCTGGAAATGGACTGAAATAAACACTGACACTCCAGTCAATGGTAGTGGGAGACAAAAGTTCAACTCCAGCATTTTGGAGTATTCCATTTCCTTAGCTGCATGACTCAGACCTTTAAAGTTTAGTGTTTCAAGTTCATGAGTAGATCAAGCAAAGCCACATTGCCACTTTACAGCCATTTCAATATATAAAAATTAGTAGAGCTTATATATAAGTATATATATACACACTTATATATATATAGCTTATATATAAGTATAAACATGCTTCTATGACCACATATAGATTCTTTTTTACCTTTATTAACTCTTCTACTTCCTGAAGTACCTGAAGAAAAAAACAACAAAACCACACTGTAAAAAATAGGACATATATATATGTATCTATCCAACTATAGATAGACAGATATACTTATATACATACACAAACATAAAAGTGTACTTTCCTTGAAAGATTTTAATGAATAAAATTTTGACTGACCTGTGGGTAGGTTACGTAAAGTGGTAAGTCAAGGACAATATAATCTTCCACTTGTCTGGCTTTTAATTCCCCACTCAATGTCACAAATGTGAGAACTGAATTTGTGTTTTCTAGAGAAAGAACATTAACAAACACAAGAATGTGAATCTAAATTACTATAGCTCTTAGAGTAGTTCAGTATATTCAGACAAAATTCCCAACTAACTCAACAAATAGTCTGCTGAGGCTAATAAACACAGCAATCACCAGCGAAACTTTCCTGCACGTTCTTGGAATGAATGGGAATTTCCTTTTAACAGAAAGGGCAATACTCCCCTATTCATCAAATTCTACTGTGCCTCTCCCAGATGACATTTGCATATCTAGCACTTTTCTTAAACAAGAGTAATAGTAGGGCATTGGAATCCAAGTGTAGGCATCAGACTACAACCTTATAATTACAGAGCAGTTGTAAAAGACAATTCCTAAGGTGTTCTAAGTGTTCTCTAAATGTTCTCAATATTTGATTGCCTTTGTTGTAGAAAATAGAGACCTTTTAGAAGGAAATTTTCTAAAAAGTTATAGTAATAAATAGCTTGCAAACATACTTTGTATATGAAACAACACAGCAGATGCTGCAAGTGTAGCATGACCACAGAGAGGAACTTCATTGGCTGGGGTGAACCATCTGAGTCCAAAGCAGGAACCTTAAAAATAAAGTTTATTAACGTTATTAAGTGGAAGAAATCTATTTCTTCAATTTATCTCAAAACTTTATGCAGAGCGATGACATTTCAGTTAATCAAAATGCATGTTATAATCAGTGTCAGTCTTAAACACACTTTTAGAAACCTATTTTGTACTGTTTTTTGGAATAGCTATTACTTTTGAGTCAGAAGAGTCTACCACCAAGGGAAGAAAGCTACTTCGTTAAAAGAGCAGAGGACCTGCAGAATAGAAATGCCTGCTGGCCTGAGAACTAGGTCTGGGAACCAGAAACAACCTTGAGAAAGGCAGCTGGCAACTTTGAAGCACTGCTGCAGAGCTAGAAACCAGAGACAGGACAAGATAGCATCAGTGAGAACAAAACCAACAAACTGTAACAGCATTATCAGTAAAAAAAAAAGTCTGGAAAAAGGGGAAAACATCCTGAGAAAGTAAAACTGGCAACTGCCACTGGCAGTTCTAACTGAAACAGTCTGGAAAAATAAAAATTCATCTGAGAGAATAGCAAACATCATCATCTATGAGCTGTTCCAGGTGAAAATACAGAAATTAACAGCATCTACTGGCTTCTTGAAGTGGTGCTGTCCTACATGCTCTTGTGTCTCTATGACATGAAAATTATTTAATTTTTATTCAAAATGGAGCTTCTCTCTCCAAGAGCTACATATATTACTCCCTTTCCTAAACAGGTCTACACAAACCTTCTCAACCTGCACACACAGGATCGTGGACACTTGCCAGGAACACATGGCTGACTCCAAACTCCATGACACAGATCATCTTTGAAGTGAGACACTGTTATTTTACTGGTCCCCCTCTGGGCCCACTTCTGGGCTCAGTTTGGTTTTTGCTCCCACTTCTGGGATGGCTGGGTCCTCCTTCTGAGATCTGTTTGTCCTCCCCCCTGGAATCTATTTAATGTGCTTCATACCATATATATACCTATAAGTAATCTATCATAAGTATATCTGCTGTTATATTATCAATAACTTTGATTATTGACTAGTGATATGTTTGTAGTAACCTGTAATATCATATATATACTTCTTGCTGCTGTTACTGATTCCTGCTATACTATTGATCACAGATAATATTTGTAATAGCTTGAGAAATATGTATATATTCACTTCATTAATCATAGGTATACTTGCTAGTGGGGATTTTTGTGATATTTGTGGTAATCTGCCATAAAGTATAAGATAATTTTAGAAGATAAAGCCTCCCTGTCCTCGTGTATTATAGAATCCTACAAAGTCACAGTCAGGATCTCCATACACCCACAGGCTGGGTTACCCTTTAGGGGTTAAAGACAGTTTTGCTGGTATAATGGAATCTGTATCAGAGCTAGGTCAGTTAATAATCATTTTGCTCAAACTACCAGTCAAGTCTGGTAAAAGCCTTTAATGTACACTACCCCTTCATTTCACTAGAAATCATATTTCTACTTGTTGTTTAAAAGAATTGAAACCCAAGTGCACTATATGTGGTTTCCTGTAGCTTTTGCAGAGTTCTTGCACCACAGTATTTAAGATAACATTTATGAAAATATCTATATTTTAATTACCATACAAACATAACTAGAAGGTGCAAAAGAAAGAAACAAATTTTAAAAAAACCCTCCAGTCTTGTCATTATCCCTGCAAAAAAATAGTGCACTAAAGTCAGAGTCCCCAGTCTAATGAAAACAAATAGAATTCCAATAAAATGTAGCGGATGAAACTAATGGACAGAGAAGTGCTCCTAGACAGGGCAGACACAGAACCCAGCTGGGAGCCTGCCCTGTGGCGTTAATGCACTCCCCCAAGTGGAAATTGTGGCTGAAAGCAGGAGGAAAAGGAGTCAGCCATGACTGACCAGAGCCAGACAAGCCCTGTGACCCAGAAGACCTGCATGGATGCTTGAGACATGCAGCTGGACTCAGACTGAGAAGACATTTTGTATTCTTGTAAATCAATATATCACTAAAATAATGTAATTTTTAAAAATTAAAAGAAATGCACTGATCACAAACTCAAACTCCTGCAGAAACATACTCTTTGTCCAGGAGCCCTTAGCACACCAATTAATGCTCGTCTCATAAATGACATTCTGGTGTTCCTGGTATCCTCTTGCTCCCAGCACCCCTTAATACACACATTCTCAGGTGTAGCTCAGTGACTAAATTCCTTTAAAAAAAACCTGTGCACCTCTTCTGCAGCTGTGTGGATCTGATGTCACAAACTCTACTCTAATTAATATCAAAAGCACTTTAATGAGAAAAAAGCTAGAGTTTTATATACTGTTGGATCTGAATGACTTGAAAATAAATAAATGTGTTAACCATAGTGGCAAGGTCAACGTGAAAAATGAAAAGTATTATCACTTCTTGATTCAAGCAATTAGTGTAACCCTAAAACAAATTCCAATTTATTAACAATAGGAGTAAGTGATTATAGTTATTGCTTTAAGAAAATCCTCTTAATTAGACTGTGCAAAATCCCACTCCCTAAGCAAACAAATGATAAAGAACAGTTTCTTTGCATACTGTTCTAGGGCCTCTTTCAGACAGCCAATAACCCCAAAGCTGTTTATCTCTCTCTTCCACCATGTTGTACCAAAGCCAGGGCAAAGCCAACAGGACACCTTCACCTGGACTCTAACTCCAGGCTACTGGGGTTCCAGCCCCACAGCTCATGCCACCACACAACTGCAAAGTGAGCAGATTTCAGCTGGAAACTAATCCACAACATGATTTTGACCAGACTCTGTATTTGCCTGGTATTTTCTATTTTGCCTAGTGTCTCTCCATTTCCTTACCGAAGAACAGCAGTGAAGTCCCTTCATTCAAACCAATCAAATAAGCAGCCTAATGTCTTTATTTTGGGTAACTTCAGATTTCCCAGTTTCGTTGGAAACATACATTTTCCAGTTTTTGTTCCACAGATACTTTATGAGATTTCGTGACAAACTCAAATAATAGCTTACAGTTATCCCAGTGATGATTTCCTGAACAGCCAAACCAGATTCTACCCACTTTGCAGTCTTGTGCATATAGAATAAGATCCTCTATTCCGTCCTCTATTCTTCTGCTTGTATAAGAAATTATCCCAGGAGATTAGTAGTAATGGAAGTATTAATTGAAGGATCTTTGCACAGCATTTTTAGATTTTCTCATACAACTTGCTTATTTAATAAAAGGCACTAAAACAAATGGTATAATTTATTATTAATAAATGTTTGCACATTATAAAATGAATTTGATATGCAGCACAAATACTATAAAGAATCCATGCGCAAAAGGCTTATTATTATTATCTTAAGTAAGAAACATCACCACTCCAAGTTTTTGCTTTGGCTGTCTTAGCACCATTCCTTAAAAATGCACCCACAATGTCTACCTATTCCCTTGTAAGAGATTTTGGTGGGTAAACAAAAATGCTCACTTTTGGTAAAGTCATCTTTCGGGTGCAGTTTTTTGATGAAAGCAGTTTCTGAAAGGTTCATTTCTGTTGCGATTTTTTGGTGCAAATCTTCATCCAAATCCTAATGATGAAACAACAAACCCAATTAAAAGCAGGCCAAAAACCACAGAATCAAACTTTCTGTCAAATAAATACAGTAATTTCATTTTCGAGTATAATATAACACAGATTCTTTTTTAGTTCAAAATACTGTGTAAGAGTAAAAAAAAACTTTAAGCATAAAACAGAATAACTACTTCAATCATTGTGATACTCGGGCATTTCTAATATTTGTTCTACTAGTTTAGAAATTCTTGGAATACATGGAAAATAAAATCACCAAAAAACCTAAACTCTGTCTTTCCATGAATACAACCTTTTTTTTTTGAAGTCATAATTATAAGTCACCCTGAGAAGCCATTATTAACGTGATCTTTAGATCACCAACTACAACTCTCTAGTTGTAATTCTGAAAAATCCATGCCAGCCAGAGGTATGTAGTAATGGTGAGGGCTAGGGCTACATTCTGCTCTAACTGCCTGCAGATTTAAACCAGTGAACATTGACCCCAGGATACACGAGTTGTAGCCATTGTATAAAATTCTACTTCACCCTTGTTCCATTGCTCTCTCCCCACAATTATGCTGACTGCCCAGGTTTGAGAACCTGGTCTTTAAAATATCAAAATGCAAACAAAGCAAAGTACTGAGGGGACCTGGTCAGAGTCAACCTCTGATAGATAAAAAATTCACCCTCCTAGCTTTACTTATTTCCCCGAGTGGACCTGGTCAGATTCAACCTCTGATAGATAAAAATTCACCCTCCTAGCTTTACTTATTTCCCTTAATGACTATAATCCTTTTCAGCCAATGATCCCATACTACAGATACGAAACAATTACTGATACGTATTATAGACCTGTGCTTGCAGAGTGAATTCTTTACAATGAAACAACATTCTAATGTTTTACAGTGACAAGTGCCTCTCCTTTATTCCAGGGAAATAGTTCTGTCAATTACTCTAAAGAAACTAAACCAGAATAAAGACCAACCAAAATGTTATTAAAAATAATAGAACTTTATTGAAATACTGCCATCCTGTGGCACTTCTGAAATACTCAAAGGGCTTGTTTTGCCATTCTTGCACTACTACTCTCAATGGTTTTTGTGGAGCACCTGCTGAGACTGAAGGGAACAGAGAACAGAAATACTGCTGCTAGCTGCACCATACTTTCCTGGACCTTAAAATAAAATTATGTATTAGAATCTGCTTTAACTGAATCTCAGCTTTAACTTTGACACTAAAGCCTCCAGCCTCAGGTACTGCAGAAAAAAAAAACCACTTTAAAATCTCAACACTCCAAAGGCAACATGCAAATGAGTTGCCCTCACAATACACTAATGCAATAAAGTAAAATTAATGTAAAAATGCAATTAGAAGTTCTAAAGTAAGTTCATTCTGAGAGGTAGCATTTAGATTTTAGGGGGTGAAAAATACGTCTCAAGGGAGATGTTCTCAATCATAACTTCAGCTGATCTGGCAAGCAGGCTATATTGTATGAGACCTGGATAGGCTTAGGAATATTTAGAAAGTATTCATATTGTCAGTACAAGCTATTGCCACTGACTGCTCTACATATATTTTCATACTTACAATTTTCATCAAGTGTTATTATACAAATAATGTAAGACCTATAAATTTCTAATCCACGTTAATAATTAGTTTTTGGTAGAAATGGTCTAAAGGGTACCAATTAGTACTAACTGTTCATAAGAGCTTGATGAGGAGGGCGACTACTGTCAATTGCACTAAAAGTACCACACAACTTTGAAGCAGCAAAAAATGGCTGTTTAAGCTCACAGACTAGCAGTGAAAGACTCAGATCCAAGTCTATGCTCCTTTTCCCTTCCATAGAAAGAGAAAAAATAGAAATGTGGGGGAAACACGAAAACCCCATATCAAAACCAAATCCACACTTCAGCACTTCATTCAAAAACTACCGAGCAGTGATTCTATGGTATTGCATTTCCTTTCAGAGTTCACTCCAAATCCATTGGCTTAAAAAATTAAACCATTTCTTCTTAACTCAAAATAAAACCAGTAATTCCTAAAAAAAAAAAATAAAACACCAAAAAAAAGCCAAACCCACACCCAAAACCAAAGAAAAAAACCTCCACAAAAATAAAGAGTGTCTTGTAGGAAATAATCCTGATGGAAAACGAGTACGCCTGTGCTAATTTCTCTGTATTCTGGAGCAACTACAAGCAACGCTTGCAAGCAGAACCCCTGAGTAAAGGAAGCAAAGTCTAATGCAGTCCTGGGTGCTCAGGTTAAGTACAGTAAATGCCATTGCAGTCCCTCATAAAACGGTTAATTTTTTTTAACTTACATTTTCAAGCAGACAAACTGCCGCAGGATTTCCAGAAAATGGCCGGTTTGTAAAGGCATCAACCGTAAAAATGGGAATTTGCATTGTCGTTTTGCGCCTATTTAAGTCGTGAACTGTTTTCTGCAAGGAACTTTCTAACCTGCCTTATCCCCAGATGACAGCAGCACCCCGGGTTAATATTTCCCTACCGGCAGGAGGAGCCGGCGGCCCCCCCAGCCCGTCACTTCCGAGGACGGACAAGGACTCAAGGCCCCTTCCACACCCCCGGCGCTCCGCTTGTTTTAAATTAACACGGGTTTTAACCTCCCTCTTGCATCGCTTGAGGCCGGTTCTAAAACGCCCTAGAGGCCCTTCCACCACAGCGCCCAGCCCAGCCTCTCCCAGGGCAGGAGCTGCGTGAGGCCGTCCCCCCATCCCCGGCCGGCCATGGGTTTACCACAGCGGCCGAGCCGCGGAGAGACGGGCGGCCATTGCGTGCCCCCAGAGCGGACAACCTCTCCCATCCTCCCTCCCTCCTTCCCTCCTTCCCAAGCCGCGGCAGATTTTCAGCGACACACGCTGAGGGGACGACCGGGCTGCCTGAGGCGTTAACGGCCGTTAACGGCCGAGCTCCGAGTCCCCTTGGCGCCAAGAGCAGGGAAGCCCAGCGCGCACGCGCCCCCCTCCCCCCCCCCGCGCCGGAGCCCTGACAGGAATTGGCGGGAACTCGGCGCCCGCCGCGCCGCGCATGCGCCCGCGCCCCCGCTCCCCTGATGCGCGCATGCGCGGGTGCCGCCCAGCCGGGGCTGAGGGAGGGCGGCGTGGCTATCGCGATAGCTGGGCGGCCGGGACGCCATCCTGCCCATCCGCGTTGCGTAGGTTGCTGAGCCCACCGGCCGGTCGGGAGTGAGGAGGAGCTTCTTTCCCTCTGTCCTTCTTTCCCGGTAGAAGCTCCCGCCGGGGCACGTCGAGGGGTGTGTGAGGGTCTCCCGGTGAGTGGGGAAGGGGAGGGCGGGGGGGGAGAGAGAGCGGGGTGCCCGCCAGCGGGATGGCGATAGCAGCGGGGGCTCGGGCCCTGAGGCGGGTGGGTCTCCCTGCCCCTTGGCGGGGTGTTGGGGCCGCTCCCGGCCTGAGGCGGCCGCGGGCAGCCGCGATCGTGGGGGAAAGTGCAGGGAGAAGGAGGGGGGGGAGGGGGGCGGTGCGGTGGCGGCGCGGTGGAGCCTCGTTCCCGAGCGCGGCCGCCATTTTGAGTGGTGGAGGCGAGGGCGGTGGCGGCCCCGGGGAGAGCGGCCGGCGGCGGCGAGGGACTCCCGGGAGGGGACTGAGGTTCGACGGGTGAAGGCTGGGTGGCTCCTCTGAGGCCGGGAGGTGGTAGCGGGGCGCGGCGGGGAGCCGGGCGGGAGCCGGGGTGGCGGCACCGGGGAGGCGCGGTAAATGGCGCCGGGGAGCGGGCGGCGGGTCAGGGCCGCGGGTCGGAGGGAGGGCGGCGATGGCGCTTCCCTCGCTTTTGCGGCTCGGCGGACGGGCGGCCCGTTGTGGGGCACACACGGATACCCTGCCGACCCCCGCCATCGCTGGCTCCCCCCATTTCCCCGGCGGGGTCTCGGTGCTCTGAGCCCGCCTTCGGCCCGGGCGGCCCCGGCCCCGCTGCCCCTCAAGGTGATCCTGAGGGTCCTGGGCCGTGGTGATTCAAGGTAATGTATCGCCGGAGTTTCCGGAAAGAATAAAAAAAACCCCCCAAAAAACAAACAAAACCCCCACAAAAAGCAACCGGGAGCGTGGTCCGTGGCGCTTTGTTCGCAGACAAAGGAAGGCCTTGTGTTTCCACGCGGGAAGCGTTGCGTGGTTCCTGCCCCTTCTTCCACTGTCACGCTTAACAACAATAAAAAAAAGAACAAAACCCCCCGTCTAGGGCGGGTGTTGAATGTGCTCTGAGTAAATAACGAGCTTTATGTGCTGTGCCTCCCCACGTGCTGCCCTCCCTGCGCGACCTGTTCCCTCGCAAAGTTTAGGGTGGTTCTAGATACGTGTGCGGTTAGATATAATAAAATACAATTTAAAATCTGTAACAGAAATAAAGCTACTTATCCATAACATTAGTTTTCTGAAGAAAAACTAGCGGTTTTTTTTTAAGGGGAGGGACTTAAGCATATGCAGCATCTAAAAAAATTTTTTTTTTTTTTTTTTTAAGGTTTGATTTGAATAAAAGATGGACTGGACCGGAAAACACAATGGGCCAAATGATACAACTAATGATGGAACAGTGGTACGACTTCGAGGCTTGCCATTTGGCTGCAGCAAAGAAGAGATTGTTCAGTTTTTCCAAGGTACCGCTAGTATAGTCGAAGTATAGTGACTTGAGGTTTTTTTTTGTATCTTTTACGCAACGTTTTGCACATTTTAATTTGTCATAACCGTTAATGGGGTGGATGGGAGGGATTGTGTTAAAATAGCTTATCTTAAGTACGAATTATGCCCTGTAAATGAAGTATGAATAGCCATAGATGTAGTAAAACTCAGTATGTATCTAAATTTGTGGAAGTGGTAAATATCTTATGCATATTGGGGTAACCTGAATGTAAGCATTTGGATCAGTTAAATTGCTTAATTGGTAGCTATATTTTCTTTCGTGTAACTTAGGTGGTTGTATTTTTGCATAGTTAAAACAGAAAAGAAGTATGGCTAAATCCATAAATGTTTAATGAAAGATTGTTGGCTTGTATTGTTGGGTGATGGGGGAAACGAGGTGGTTTTTTTTTTTTTTCGTTGTTGTTGTTTAGATATGCTTTAAGTATTTGCTACAGATGGGAATGTTTCAGCCTTTAACACTGTTCCCCTTGATGGGGTTATTTGTCCTTGGGTTAAAGGGTTGGAAATCGTGCCAAATGGGATAACATTGACGCTGGACTACCAGGGGAGAAGCACAGGGGAGGCCTTCGTGCAGTTTGCTTCAAAGGAGATAGCAGAAAATGCTCTGGGGAAACACAAGGAAAGAATAGGGCACAGGTGGGGATGGAGAGTTTGGGATGGTGTTAAATCTTTATTTTTGGGGGTTGTGGGTCAGTAATGCTTTTGGGGGGGTTGGGGACCATTATGTGGAACTGGCTGTTTTAAAGAATTTTTATAACTGATCCTAAGTTAACTTGGGAAATACAGTAGATTTGGGGGGTGGGGGAGACAGTATTGCTCTGGGTAGTTTGCTAAACTTGGGAAATTGTTTCAATCGTTCTTGCGTAGGGTAATTTGTGATTAATGCTACTCTAGCTGGACATTGTTTTTCAACAGTATGTTTCTCATACTGGAAAGACATGTTTTATGCTTAATTCATACAACTAGACTTTTCACAGTAATTTTTGCCACTGTAAAGTGTTTTGTTGTGTTTTTTTTTTTAATACACTTAAGATTCTTATGGTTTTGAGGAGAAACTTAAGTTGTATGGTATCTCTAGTCACTTCTATTGGATTGTACGCTTAGTTATAGAAAACGTAGTATGGCCTTTTATAATACTCAGGCAGCTTATGCATGTGTTCTTACTGGTGCCTTGAAAATCCTCTTTTATTAGATATATTGAAATCTTCAAAAGTAGTAAGAGCGAAATCAGAGGATTCTGTGACATGCCAAGAAGAATGATGGGACAACAACGACCTGGACCATATGATAGACCATTAGGAGGAAGAGGGGGTTATTATGGAGCTGGGCGTGGAAGTATGTATGACAGAATGCGTCGAGGAGGTGGTGGATATGACGGTGGTATGTTTATCTAATGAACGGAGGTTCTGTTGTCAGTTTCATGTTTCTGACGTCTTTGTCAAGAAATACAGAAATGGCAGTAGCTGCAGTACCCCTTGGGTTTGACACACTTCTCTCAAAACGTTTTGACTTGTAATGGATCAAAAAAATGTGGCTTAGTATTTAAGATTAATAGAATTAATAAGGAAACCGTATTTTCAGCAGAATTTGCTCTCTCACTTGCATGTTTCAGTCCTTTTACTGTATAAAACGACTGTTATGTTTGCACTGTGTTCAGAAGTCCAGCTTTAACAGTCTGTAGAGGCTGTTTGCAAACTTCTGGGTGCCCAAAGACTGAAATATTAACTCTTGTGCATTGCTCGGTGAATTTGGGGTAATAATGTAATCATTCCTTTCTTTCTCCCCATCGCACAGGATATGGTGGCTTTGATGATTATGGTGGCTATAATAACTATGGCTATGGAAATGATGGCTATGATGACAGAATGAGGGATGGGAGAGGTAAAAAACATTTCATACTATTTGAGTTGTAAGACATAGTATTTCCAAGACAGAAGTCATTGTTTGCCTCGTTAGATTATTTTGTAAAGAAAGCAAGTTCTTTAAAAGGAGGGGATTTCAGAAAAATGTAAATCTATTGCTTATGACATCTTCTAGTTAAATGTTCTGGGTTGATAAACAGGAGGTGTAAACATCTTCTATTCAGTGGCATAAAGTGTATGATTTCAGGAAACAAGGGAGTGACTTTTGTGGCTTTTCATGATGATCTTACAGGTGTGTGGGTTTGTTTGTTGTGGGATTTTTAACAGGCATGGGAGGACATGGCTACGGTGGAGATGCTGGCTCAGGTTTCCATGGTGGCGGTCATTTTGTTCACATGAGAGGACTGCCTTTTCGAGCAACAGAAAATGATATTGCCAATGTAAGTACAGTGGGGAAAGGGGCTTTCTAGTGCTCAGAGTTTCTGTGTTCTTGTCTTTCCTACTCCAAGCTTGGTTATAGTTCTTAAACAAGTGATTGATACCTCTAATACATTTTAAGCAAAGTCATAGCCTTTACATGAGTTTTACAAAGCTTAGTAGTAGGAGAGTTTTTTATAAAGGTAATATCTGAGGAGGGATTACTGTAGAAGTCAGCCCAACTATTTAACGTTAATCTCTGTACTCTTTGCCCTTTCATTTCCATAAAAGGTGTATTAGGGGGAGAAAGCAGTTCCTGTAATTATTATCCTCATTTTAAGGAGCTTAACTGAAAACCTAAAGTTCTGTAAAGGAACAATAGCAGATAGAAACCTCCGATTGCAGCTTATGTCTTGGTTGTTTCATCTGAGACTTTAGGAGGGCCAGGGTGGGAGGAATGTAGGAGCTGTGTTCAGCTGGAGGGGATGGTGTCCCATTACTGATAAGAGGCTGGGGTGGCAGATGAAAGTGCATCTGCCAGATTTTGGAAATACATTCTTGTGTCAGTGCAGATGTGGTGTTTGTAGGGGAAGTTTTCCTGGGATATAAGGCCCAGTTTAAACATAGCCTCTCCTCAGGAGGCCTCCCTATTTAGCAGCTGCACCTATATATTATATATGCAGAACTCCATTCTTAAGCTTGTGCTCTGTTCTGGTTTAAATCGAGATGCATTTTATCAGTTTGTTTTCTTCAGTCTAAAGACTCTCCAAGAACAGGGGCCAGACTGCAGGCTTTGGTTCCGAGCAGGTGATTGCGAGCTGAGGAGTAGCACTTCAGTAGCACACACTTACATGTAGTGTTGGGTAGAAAGGCTGTCAGAGAGATCACTGTATCTCTGTGAGTTCCATAGCAAGGAAGAGCAGCCTGATTGACAGTTTTTTCTGCATTCCATAAACGTCCTTGCTTTGAGAAATGTTTGGCCCTGCTTCTGCAGAAACGAAGTAGATGTTTTCCAGGTTGGCATCATTATTAGAACTTGCTGCTCAAAGCAATGTCTGTGGGCAGGAATTTTTTGTTTGTATCTTTGCCTTTAAAGAAAGCTCCTCAAGCTCTAGCTGGAGCTCTTTGAGGTGTATAATAATGATAGATTGAAAGTGTAGATTGACTTAACTTTGAAGGTCCACTATCACTAAGTAATACTTTGGAAATCAGTAATTAAATTTATGTGGTAGGGTGAGATTAAATTAATGCAATGCTCCAGTAACCACTGGGATGGGGAAGTTACCTGGCTTGAATCCTGCATTAATGTGATTATATTTCTTTGTTTTTATTCTTAGTTTTTCTCACCATTGAATCCGATACGAGTTCACATTGATATTGGGGCAGATGGAAGAGCCACAGGAGAGGCAGATGTGGAATTCGTCACACATGAGGATGCAGTAGCTGCCATGTCTAAGGATAAAAACCACATGCGTGAGTGTCACGTTCACTTACAGCTTTCACAGACCACGGTATAGAAGGGTTTAAACTGCATTTAACTTCAGGGGCTTTGCAGTAAATATACAAACCATGAGATTTTTGCCATTTAGCGCATTTAATCTCACCTTTAACTGCTACTTGTAAGTTGGGGTTGTGGTTTTTTTTTTTGCTTTGTATCTCCGTGCTGAAAGCACTTAAATAAGGCTTGTTTTGTTTCCTGCAGAGCATCGGTATATCGAACTATTTCTGAATTCAACTGCTGGAGGTGGCTCTGGAATGGGAGGCTACGGCAGAGATGGAATGGGTACGCATGGATTCCAGACTGAGCTGACTTTAGGCCAAGTCTGATGAGTTCCAGGTTTCTAACGATGCTCTTCCTGCCTTTCAGATCAGGGTTATGGCTCCGTTGGGAGAATGGGAATGGGTAGCAATTACAGCGGCGGATACGGAACTCCTGATGGCCTGGGAGGATATAGTAAGTAATAGTTCTGTTTTACACGTTTTCTGTGAAAATGCTGCTACCTCTGTCTTGTGTGGGGTGCTGGGGCAGGGTGGCAGGCTCTGCCACAAAGCCTGCCTGTGGGGAGGAAGGGAAGGGGGGGGGGTGGTTTCTCTGAAATTGTACTTCAAGGTGGAGGGGTTTAAGCATTTTGCTACTGCAGCAAATGCTTGTCTGAAAAAAGTAGTGTGGAAGTATTGTTATTTTAGTGTAAGTTGAGTCATCTGCAACCAACTGTTCTGTATTACCCATCACGTTTTTTCTTTTTTTAAGGTATGTATGCGTGACCTTGTGTCAATTGTTTGCAGGTCGTGGCAGTGGAAATAGTGGAGGATACTATGGGCAAGGCAGTATGGGTGGAGGAGGCTGGCGTGGAATGTATTGAAGGATAGCCTTGCTTCTGCAAAACATCCGGGAAGAAACAGTCTCTGGTCTCCTAGACTTTCTTACAAAATTTAATTTCTTTTGTATTTTAAGAACTTTATAATGACTGAAGGAATGTGTTTTCACAATATTATTTGGTAAGCAACAGATTGTGATGGGAAAATCTGTTTTCTGTAGGTTTTATTTGTTGCATACTCTGACTTTAAATAAATTTTTATATTCAAACCACTGATGTTGATACTTTTTATACTAGTTACTCCTAAGGATGTATTACATATTCAAGACTACAGTCGGTTTAAGATGTTGTACTATGGTTCAATAAAGGTGGTTGTACTGTAACTCCTATGAACACTGATTCAGTTCTATGTAATTTTGGTGTAGTGAATGAGTTTGAAAAATTCACTTGTTTAAGGGGAAAAAGGTAGACGAATAGATTAGTTTGTTTAGTAACAATCTTTCCTAAACCCTTTTGATAAGCTGTATGTAGTAATTTCTCAGCGCGGTGTAAAGCTCCGGAGGCTAAAAGTCCTTGTTGTGGCTTCCTTCCTCCTCATCTGCAGCTGCCTGAAGGAGCAGTGCCCGAGGCTCCTGCCTCCCAAAACCGGGCACCACCACCGATTGCCACGCTTTGCTGTAGAGCTGTAGGTACCGCCTCTCACACCTGGAACTTGCCAAGCAAACGAAACCACTAGGCACAGCTTTTAGCTAACATGAAATAGGTCAAATAGGAGTTAATCCCAAACTATCTACTTGATGGTTGGGTTTGTTTTGGTTTTTTCACAAACGCTGCTTCTGGGAAGAGGGGGGGGGGATTTGGAAGCAGCTTTTTTTCTTCAGTGAAATTATTGTATTGAAATATGGTTCAGCTTTTTTTTTTTGGCTGCACATGGCTGATGTGTCTGTATTTGTTCCGAACTTGACAAGCCATTAAATGGGTGAGCTCGTTCGAAGCAAAGCATCTCTAAAATAACTACAAGCCCAACACTTGTGAAATAACACAAAACCCCACCAGGCTGATCAAACTTTTTGCGCATTTGTGACATGTAAGATATGTAAGAAACTATTGTTTGAAGACACTTAACATACCTGATGTGTAATGAAAAAAAAAGGTATTTATTCTTCTGAGCCAGTGTGATCTCCCAAATTAACTGCTTTGTCCTCAATGCCTCCCTTAAAATTGTCAAATGTGATCTTGGGTATTGAAAAGTCTGTCACCTGTTTTGCTAGTACTGTGTTATATCTGTAATAAATGTCTTCTTGTGGGAGAGAGGAGAATGGAGTTTATTTCACAAGAGAGCGTGTCCTTGTGTTGAAGTGACTGGAAATGGAAGCGGAGAGGGTAACTGGTACAGAGTGGTTGTGGCTAGGAAGGGGAGGGCAGGGGAGATCCTGCCACCAGTGGGTGCTCCTAAGAACTAGTGGGTTCTGCTAGTTTCTGCTGGAAAAGCTCACATCTTCTATAAAGCTCAGGTGGCCGAGGTCAGGATGAATTAACCCAGTGGCAGGAAAAGGCATCTTACAGTGAGACAGGGGAAATCTGCACAACACGATACCCATAAATCCCATTAGCTCCATCCCCTTCCCTTGCCCGGGTGTCCCTTGTGTCAAGGAAAGGCCACCACCTGTTGGAGACTCACCTTTTGGGAGTCCTGCTTCCAGCTGCCGTGTGCGTGTAACCGGGGGGTGGTGGGAAACACCCCGAGTTTGGGTCCTGCCAAAGGGAACTCCACGGGCCGGGGCAGCGGCTCCCTTCCGCTGAACCCTTCCTCCCACTGCCTGGTCCAAAAAGCCACTCAGCAGGGCAGGTACGTGGTTTGATGCTAAAAGGGAAATAAAACCACACAGAACATCAGACTATTCACATTTGGTTCAAGGCAGTTCCACCTGGAGTCGGTAAAAGCCACCTGAATAATTACCCATTACTTCAATGACCTTCCCCAACACGAGTAAGGCAGCACGGAGGGGAGGAGACAGCAATTAATTTAATTTAATTTATTGCGTGTGATGGAAATTCTTCTTTTAAGAGCTTGCCTATTTTAAAATTAATTTTATTTGTGGCATACTTCTTGAAAAGCTACTTATTAAAGCTACTTATTACCGGCATCGTCTGTCTCCTCCCTCACTCCCTGCTGCCTCCACGCCTGCCCCAGAGAGCCCACTGGAAAACACTGGGAATGCTGCTGGGAGGCACATGAACAGCACTTGGGTTTGTTTCCTCCTCAGCAGAAACCGCTCCCCAACGTACACAAGGACATTCTAAGCAACTTGAACACGTCATGATAAAATATTTTAAAATAAATCCGAGTTACACATTTAAATAAAGTGACATTATTCCCACAGTTAAGTTGCAGGTCAATTAAATTTATTATTTTTTTTTTTCCAAAATCTATTTACAGATTTACAAGTATTTGTTTTGTATTTTACAAAAAGTTACATCGGGTCATTTTAAAAACATTTTTCTTTACAAAAGCTACATAAGCAACTACATCGAGGTGTTAAAAAAAAAAACCAAACAAGAAAAACCCAGCTGTATTTAGGATATTGACTGAACATCTAGGCTCGGAAGACAAAGCTAAGCTAAACGAAGTGCAAGACCAATTAAAAGACCTGTTTCAAAGCCTCCCTTCTCCTCCGAGTGCCCGGCCGAAGGAGGCAGCGGGCAGAGCGTGGGGACTGCAGGGCTGGAGCCCGTGGGGTGAGGAGCTGAAGGGAAGAGGGTTCGGGTGCAGCGAGGTGGAAGCGAGGAGAAGTTACTAACAATGGGTGTATTTGTGTTTGCCTACAGGAAGAATAAGGATTTACATTCCAGCAGAAGTTCTCACAGAATATCAGTGCCAAGAGTGGTCAGACCCAGATGTACTCTAAAGTGCTCTGGGGAAAAAAAAAGTATGAAGTTTAGGAACAGACTATGGAAGTTTGAGAAGAATGATGACAAAATAAGGAAGAACCTCCCTGTCCAACACAGAAAGGACGTGGTCCCCAGTATTTAATCCTAGGTGGCAGATTCACTCCGTGACTCACTACAGTGACCACACAGACAAGCTCAGAAGCACGACTTACACAAAAACAATGTAAAGATACTTCTTCAAGGTTACAGACAATGATGTGAGGTGTAATTTTTGGGATAGACGTCTCTCTTCTAATGGAAACACGGATATGTCAAATTAATAGTTACTTTCAGAAGTATCATTCAGCAAAATGCACCTTCCTTCACGCAATGGCGAGAGGCACCGCTTGGTCCCTGTCTCCCCAGTTACACCTCTGCCCACAGAGTCAGTGCAATATCAAATCGTGATAATTGAGGGGAAGTGAATAAATATGGTATTTGGCAACAACTTACTGGACCACTGCATTAACAGCATTAGTTTTTAAAAATACAATTTAAAACTAGCTACCGCACGGTTTTGCTTCACGACGGCGTATCACAGGCACGTTCTGCAGCAGAATTAGGCTGGGCTTGTGGCAGAGCAGCCTGGAAAAGCAGGTAAGTGTATTATCTTTCGAGATCATCATAATGACTAAGACACTCATCAAATACATGTTAACACTGAGTCTCCTCGTACACTGCCCTGCTCCCTCCAAAAGAGCTTCGCAGACAGTTGTTAGATTAATATTGTCAGCTGCATCTTTAACACCTGCATTTTCTGGTGTCAGGTCCCATTGTCTCCATTTGTTTCAAGAGGAAGGAAGCAGACACTTAACTCTTCCAGCACACCTTGAAAATGCAACTCTAGACTGCTTACCTGAAATTCTGGAAATAATGCTGTACATTCTTTTAGTTGGCTTTTTCTGTTTTTTAATCAGATGAGATAAATACCGAAAGGTAATAAATATCTTGTAAAATAATCTCATGGCACGTTAGAAGAGCACCTCTGTATAAGTATGGCGTGGCAGGAATCACAGACCCGAACAGGCTTCGGAGAAGAAGGCAGAGGCAGTTCGTTGTCAGAACAGGCATTACAGAAGATCTCACCACAGTTTCTACAATGATGCTAAAGAAAGGGGGGGAAAAATGAAAAGAAAAATAAAATTTGCAACGGAAATACACTTGGTAACTGGATACCACCAAACAGTAGACACAGAGCAGTCTCAAATGGGATTCCTTCCACTTCTTTGATCTGAGCGTGGAATCAGTTTTCAAAAGATAATTCATCTAAATCCCAACTTATGACACAATCCTTGACAGACCGTGGTCTGTGACTGCGTCACAGATAGACCGATAGAGGGTCTGCCTAGGACCGTATATTTTTATTTATATATTTTTATATACATATATATATGCTTTGCAAATTTTGTTCAATTCCTGTATTAAGAATACACTGCTATATAAAAATATAATACAAGCAATGATATTCAAGAGAGTAATGATTCTGTATCAGGCAGCTAATCGAGATCTAACATAAAAAAGGTAAAATAAAAATTCCTGCATGCATTAATAAAGCATTGAAATTAACATCACGTTTTACTTAAAAATGATAATGAACACATAATTTCTTAAGACTTCTATGTGTCAAATTTTAACACTGCCAGAGCTGACAAGCACTAGAGATGATGATTTCACACAGTACGTTGAGTAATTTTAGCTACGTTCCTTTGTGGCACTTCACCAAAAGGCAGTGTTTCTTTTGTAATGAGGGCCCAGCTGCGTTGTACACACCAAAGTACTAGAAAGATCTCTCAAAAATAACTACACACTCATCTGAGCATTGACATTTCATGCTGCACCTCTAAGATAATTACTGTTTTTCTCATAACACACGTAAACAAGTTGGAAGAAATTTCGTTAGAGTTTTACCTTCCTTTTGGAAAGAGAAAATTCCTTTTCACATAACTTGCAATGTGTAGCCTCTTTGTCCTTCAACCAAACCTGGCCCTGGAGAAAAAAAAATAATATCTTAACTATACGTATCTGATGAAGTTAAAACTTGATTTCCAGGGGACAAGACAAATCAGTACATTTACTGCCTGGATTGACCAGCATCATATCATAAAGGCACTCTAAAGCAGTACAAATCCCCTGCACAACACTGCAAAACTGTGTGAGACAAGACAAAGCAGGAATAGGTGAAAAGAGAACATGCTCGAGGGGGTAAAGCTGGTCAATGGCTGAGCTGGGAAAAGCAGAAAGGTATCCACGTCTCAGAGCTGAAGCCTGTTTCCCTGCCCATCACACAGAAAGTCCCCAAGATGCACAGAAGCAAAAAAAACCCACAGGACGGTATCAAGAACTGTTCATTTCCTTCTGTCTAAACCAGGAATCTGCTCAACAAAACCACTTTACACACCTTTTCTTGGACTGAAACAATACACAAGGTGACATACCACATGATTGAACAAGTGCAGACACAATCTCTGCTCTTAAGTGTCAAGTGCTCCCTGAACAACACTTAAAATTCCAAACCTCTCAACATTACAAATCATATTTCATCAGCTTTGGTGCTACAAGTTTACTTAATTCCTAGGACGAACAAATATTTACTGATCACTGAGACGTAGCACATAATCTACGATCAGTTGGCTACATATTCTGTCCCTGATAAACTCTATATAAGAGTGTACCAATGCAAGGAAAGTAGCAAAATCCAGAGCTGTACATCAAACAAGAAAAAACCAAAAGCAACTGAGCATCTTCCCCTGAGCCTACAGGGAGTTGGCGATTCTTTCCCACTGAGGAAGCCATCCAATGGGCCTCTTCGGAATAGTTGCTGTTGGACAGAAGTCGTCATCTCATTCCTGCTTACAAAGTATTTCAAAAGGAATACTAAAAAAGAAAAAGCTTCTCTTTCCTCTAAATACTACTAACCTGCAATGCTTTGTTGGCTTCTTTTATATCTTCTATTTTCAGCTTTGATCTAAAAAATAAGATAATGTTATTTCAAACTTCTATATTGTCAGTTAAGGTCTAGCAACTTTAAAAATTGTACTTAAGTTATATTTTACATTACAGCAGCATTCAGGAGGTGTTATCAATATCACACCCTGCTGTACTAAGCACTACACAAAGACAAGTCCTCTCCAAAGAGCTCAGAGTCCTTTCAATGGCTCTAAATTTGCTTGAGGTTCTGTGGACAAGATAAATTTGTACCAGCATAACTCTGTGCAAATACCTAAAGCTTAGCACACAGTGTTGGTAGAAAACCAGAATTTAAACTTCTGGGCTTGAATAAGACCACACAATGTCATTATGGAGAAACCAGCCTCCCCACAGCCACCCAGTGCCAACCCTCAGAATGGGCTGAGTCACAGTATATATACACTAAGTTACTCTACAAGGCGTGGAAGTCCACATTAGTCATGGCAAAATGACTTAGAGATCGTTAATTAAACTTCAACAACATATAACAATAATGCTAAGAGCTGTGCTCAGAGCTTATTTGCTCACTATAGTCTGAAAGGCCTTACAGACTTAGTAACAGTGGCCTAGGATTGTCCTACTGAGGTTCTTCACCTCTTCAAGGAAAGGGACCCATGAGCAGGCATCCTCACTAACAGGTAAGTGCTGTCCTGCTGGAGCCACAGCTGTTCTCTTCTACCTGGGTTCTTCTTTGGGAATGAACACCACAACATGCAAACTCGCCAACCATTTTCAACACAAAACAACTCCTAATGCCCCTGGAACCTCTTAAATCAGGGGTTTCTGTTCAGAGCACTAGAACTACCCGTGAGTTCACAGCTAGCACACCAACCGAAAATAAAACTAAACAGACCTGGCCTAACTAGACATAGTATTTTTTGGTAACTAGCTAGGTAATATCATCAAATACAGTCTAATGCATGTGTCCACCATCCTATTATTTTTCTTAATTCAAGTTTATATGACAAAAATAATCATTATCATGAATAACAAAATTACTCGCTCAGCTTGGATGCCAGTTCTTGGAGAGCAGCTTCTTGGTCTTGACATATCCTTTTCAGTTGTTTGTTCTTTTCCTGAAGTTTAAGGAACTCCTTAAAAATACAAACAAAAAAACCCAACGAACACCAATTATTCTCCAAATTCTATTTGCCTACTGCCTAGAAAACTCCTACTACCCAAAGTACATCCTACTGAGAAAGCCAAGTGAATAAATGATCCACTACACTATTAAGATTCCCAAATCCAACTCGAACAGCAACAACTTGGGATTAAACACTCTTAGATCCCCAAGAGATGAAGCATTTTTGCTTCTGCGCTCCTCTCCAGGAAGAAATTAAAAGCAATTGATTGCAGAGATCAAGACCCCTATACAGCCATGCAGACCAAGTCAGAGAGAAGCTAAAGCACTTTCTGGCCTGCGGTAAGAAGACAGAGTCTTCAATATAACAGAGATGATTGATTGCAGAGATCAAGACCCCTGTACAGCCATGCAGACCAAGTCACTTCTGGCCTGCGATAAGAAGACAGAGTCTTCAATATAACAGAGAATGGAAAATGAGGATCTAATTTTTCCTTATTCAAAGCAATGAGTTCTGATCTGATGACAAAATGGGGCGAAAAAAACCGATTTTTTTCTTAATCTATTTGTGAGAATACATTTATCCCATCTTTCTTATCTACTTGCAGAAATTCTTAAAAGTACCATGCCTAAAGTCCATGATTAACTTTGCAGCCAATTTCTAAATTACTACTCAAGTTTTACTACAGAATTTACTTTTTTGAGGGTAATTATTTCTTGGGTCTCTATTCTCAAATGAGATACAGTTTCCTTTTCCTTCTGAAGATCATCCTCCAAGGTTTGCCGCCACTCTTTTTCTATCTTCAAATCTGTTTCCAGCTGAAGCCTAGAATACACAAAACAAAAAAAACCCCAACAATGACTGTGCAAAAAAGTATTGTTTTTTAAAAATAAAAATGAGTTTATTTCTGGGTGCAATATACTATTATAATAAACAAATTATCAACTCACACGTTTTCTAAAACAGAAATAATGTATCGATATCATAATATTTTAGACATCAGTGTAATAAATAAAACAAAACACTGTCACTTAGAGAATAGTTTTAAAAAGAAACATCTTTAAAGGATCAAAAATATGGCATCACTTTGAGGAACAGACCATTTTAATAAATGAGGAAGAGAAGATTAACCACCACATTCTAAAGTATTTTTAAAAAGTGCATAAGGGGAATCCCCCTTAACCTTACACAGCCTGTTTCTAAAATAAAGCAAACCGATCACACTGCCACTGGTGATGCAGACAATGACTACATGTATCTCTGGTACTCAGAAAAGTTATTTAATATTACACCCTTAGATGTGAATCTTCTATTTTAGACTAAGGTTTATGGCATTTTGAACTGAAAATAATGGAGGAAGGACTTTTAAGTTACTATTTTTATTGAGGTTCCTACATAATTGAGGTTCAACTTAAAGAAGGATGTAAATTCAATTAGTTTAACCAGAGTCCAGTTAAAGGAATTAGGGCCACTCCGATGGAAGATCCACTCTAGCTGGAATTTCCCTATCAGTTTCATGGAAGAGTTGGTGTTTAGAATGTTATGTAGAAATGAAAGGATGGAAGCACACTGCCTTCTTCACACTGCCTCACACTTCAACCTTCTAGATCTGCCAAACTGTGCCAACAGAGTAAAAAAATGAAACCAACAACCTGAGAGTAGTCATGCAAGGAGTTTTGATGGAAAACCTGTATCCACATTACTTTTCCTGTTTTGAAACCCAAACCATTTTTTAAGGAAAGACTTACATTTTGGGGCACTACCTCAGCATCTGGCTGGAAAAGATCAGAAGTGAACATGCCCTTGAGGTTTCAGAATTGCAGAATTCTAAGGCTGAGGTCTGAACTGTTCTTTTGCCAAAATCTGCAAAGATGACTGTGGTAGTAAAGTGAACATTTGTCATGACAGTTAAACAAGTTTATTAACATTCAGAGTTGTAAGAGAGGGTGGGCAGCAGGGTGGGCTAATAATCGGATTGGAAACCACTAATTTTTAAGTCCCAATCCTTGTTGTGCTGCAAATTTGCACTGCCTTAAATAATTTACTTGTTATCTTTCCCAACAGGGAAAGCACCTGCCTTTACAGGGAGCTTTTTACACTACATAATTATTTAAATCAGTACTGAAGCATTTAACAGGAGAAAGGGCAGAGGGTTGGCTTTTATATTACTTTTTAGTATTTATTATCCCAGTGGATTTTTATTTTTTATTTCCTGCACAGTGGTAAGTTAAACCACTTCTACCTTCTCCATAAGCCTGATTAATTATTCTTAAGCCATTTGTATTTAAGTTTTTACTACTACATACTTGTGGGTTTTGTTAGAAGTGTGTGTATTACTACTACTACTACACTATGTATTTTCCCCCACTTATGACAATTTCTTTGTGAGTTAAGCTGGCACTTTTAGACAAAAAATAATGTTCTTCTTCCCCTCCTTTCAAGCTGCACATCAGTTTAGAAGCACCCAAAGGTAGCCTGACCTTCTTGGAATGGCATATTTCCTTCCAGCTTGCCAGTACCTAACATGAAAATCTTTAATATTTACATTCTGTTCAAAACCATTCATCAACAACCAGCCTGTATGTAACACAGGACATACCAAAATGGAGAATGTTTACTGCTGTCTATTTTTCCAAACAGGAATGATATACTTACAGCTGTTTCTCCTTCTGGGAGAATTCTTTCTGCAGACTTTCAGATTTATTCACATATTCCTGCTTAAGTTTCTCATCCTCGGCCTCAGCCTCCATTTGAGCCTTCTCTGCTTGCTGCAATCTGGTGTAATTCAAATCAACTTTGGGTAAAACTGAAGCTAGAACTAGGGTGTAGAGGGTGAAGAAGACAAATAAAAGAAAAATGGGGAAATAGAAACATTTCTAAATAAAAACAAAGTTTGGGGGAAACTCACAAACTCAAACGAGAAATCCATACAATGCCTAGAGAACTAGCTCCTGTTTTTTCATACAGTAAGAGAGTAATCACTGTAAGTAATCACTGTTTTATTTTATGCTCATGAATAACAGATGCCAAAGCATGATGATACATATTTTAGAATTAAAGCATATACCTTAATGCTTTTTTTTTTTCCTTTAGCATATGTTCATGTGTTATTTTGGGAAGCTTTTCTTTTTTGTTTTTTTTTTAAATAAATCCTGTAGAAGTACTTGGCTTGTACTAATTACCCATTAAGACAGGGCAGAGCATGTGTTGTGCAAAAGCAGCTGAAAACAATTCAGGCATAAGGCTGAACACAGAGCACTGCAATCAGACAGCAAAAAACTTAACTAGCCTAATACAACAAGACACACCCTGACAGGTCCCACTACATTTACAGAACTACCTCCACTACACCATATTATGAAATTAATTTAAATAATCTGTATTAAAAATAATGCATTCTTACACTGGTTAGAATACCTCCATACTATAGACAAAATAAATTGAAGTCATTAATCGAGAAGTGAGGGATTGTTGTGGTTTTTTTTTTAATTTAATCTTTCATTTCTGAACTCCAGGGGTTTGTTTCTGCTTCAGCTAGTGCTCCTCTTGGAATCATTAATTCACTGTGGTTCCTCTCTACTTGGTCACCTCTTCAGGCCAAAAAAAGATGGACGGAATGTAACAAAAGTAAAGGTACTAAAATGGAACTTGTGCTGTATCGTGGCTTCACCTGTCTCGGTGAAAAGGCAGGAGGGTAAAAGAGCCTGTAAAATACCACTGAATGTCCCCACCTGCTGCATCGTGTTTAACAAAACTGTTTCAAAGGCTCTTGGGTAAGAGGTGGGAGAATTTTGTGACACTCTCTGTGCTCGATTTCTCACTTCCCAGCAGCTGGCTGGATGCAGAGTAACTCACAACTCCCATGTCAGCTAAAGAGGAATTAAGTCAGCATTATGTCTGCGTTTGTGCTTCTACTGATGAAGTTGCACCAGCAGGAGTTTCCAAAAGCTGCCAGTAAACAAGTGAAAAAAGACTGAAATTAAACTATCTCATTCAACTATGCCAGTTGTTTTAAGAATGTCCCCAGTCACCTTTGCAACAGTAGTTTTGGCCCCAGAGGGCCAAAAACACATATGGAATGGAGAATAGTGGGAAAGTCAGGTCAACTCACCGGGCAAAAGCAGTTGAAGGAAGCTACACAAGACAGTAACACCAAAAGAAGTTAAAACCCTCCCTAAGTGATAAATTAAACTGCAGTATAGTTTCCACAACCTAGGTAGAAAGGGATCTTGCTACACAAGAAACATGCTAGCCTACCCAGGCTACAGCACCATCCTCTGGACTGGCCCCAGGGCTAACCACACCGCTGCAATTCGGACCCATGCTGAGCTGGACCAAGTTTGCAGCAAGATCTGTGACTCAGATGGTGCTGAGGCAGGTACTTGTTTGCAGAGATGACCATGAGATGATTAACGTTCCCATTTCTGCTACGGTCTACTTGTTGTTTTATTCAGTGTTGCTGGTTTGGGTTTTCTTTGAGGATGGGAGATATTTTTCTTTTTTTAGTAGCCATCCCATGCTAAAGGCTCTTTCTGATTCCAAACCAAGGAATAAGGTTATATATAATGCTGGAGTAAAAACCCTTTCTGTGTTACTGTGTCCTGCCCTGACTTTTGCCAACGCACCCCCTTCTGCTGAAAGACCCTAAGGTTCTTCTCCCAGCCAACTTCCCCTCCAGGCTTCAGAGCAAACAGTCAGCAGCTAAAACCCTCTTATTTCTGCAGTGCAGGCAAGCAGCAACACAAAGCAGAAATATGAGGTGTAAAGACTGATGGGCGGAGGGAGGGAAAAGGGGACAAAAAGGGGCTGGGCAAAACCACAGGTTATGATTACAGTGTAATCAAAGCCACTGACAGGCCAGATCCTTCGCTGACAAACGAGTTAGACAAGTTCAGGATCTGGGCCCTGAATGTAAAACCTATTTATTCCGACAACTTCCACTGCAGCCACCACGGTGCTGCTGTTCTAGGCAGGAATCACAGCTGCCAAATTTGCTCCAGCGCAGAGCCCTCCCTTATCTGGAGCCCCATCCCAGTCCAGGCACCAAACACATTTTAATTCTGCATCACATCAGCAAAATGGAATTGTGCTTTAGCTGGTTTATCCCCAAACCCTGTAATTCTTCCACTGTACGTACTGAACGTGTATGTTGACACCATCCTCTTTTTTAAAATATATTGTTCTGATACAGCACTCAACCCCTTTCCCCCCAAATTCCTGTCACACTGTTTAAGAAAACAGTGCTAGTTACAACCAAAAATCACAACAGAGAGCATGCTTTTGGGATAAATTCAGCCTAAAAGTGAAAGAAATAAGCAAGGGAGAAGGGAAATACTAGTCAGAAGGGCTACTTTTAAAATCTGTTAGTACCATAAAGTATAGGAAAAATCACTAGATCAGAAACAAAAGTCATAAAAATGTACAGCCAAAGTAAAGACAGCTAGCCTCTTAAAATAAACTTTGTTTGACAATTAAGAAGTGATTAAATAACATTAGAAAACTAGCTTACATTTGCTTAATAATAGTGCAATAATTTACTTTTTTTTTTCCTTTTTTTTTTTCAGTGGGGTAAAGTGAGATCGAAGATTATGTTCTTTCAGAAAATAAAACAGAACACAGCTACGATCAGTTACAGTGCAGGATTTCTAATACCACTTTAAAATTGTAATTTTAAAATTCTTAAGGAGTATTTTATCAGTAATTATTGAAACACAACAGATCTGGAGGAGCTTTCAGAATGATATATCTTTGACAAGCTTATACTGGTGCTGAGCTTCGTTGCTGGCACATTTGACGAATGACATTGCAATAGTCCTAGTTTGAGTTAACAGATCTTTGTCACTTCATGAATGCAGTGGACAAAAATCAAAGACAGATGAAGGCAACAAAATAGTAAAAACAAAAATTGGGATAAAGGATAAAAAGAAAAAGAAAAAAGAGGGAAAAAGGATGTCAATAAAAGAATATTCATGTCACTATTTTTTAATACATAACCATGTTTTTCATAATCAGATTTAAATGGGAAAAAAAAGACATGTCAAACACCAACATGACAGGGCTCATGGATATGTTATATTTTACAATTAAAAAGATCAATGTTGAATATACGCCACTAAATTAAAACATGAGTCACATTTTAATATTATGCAATACATGCAGTATAACCATAACGTGAATTCATGTACTGGAATTTTAGTCTTTCACTTTTCAACCTTTCAGTGTAAAAACTCATTATGTCATTGAAAATCATGGTACTTCCAAAGCAACAGACAGCAATTTTAAGAGCTTCAGCAAATGCAGCAGTGATCCATGAAGGCATTAAATGTTTATATTAAGCACAAGCTTAAGTATAAGCAAGATTAATGCTTTGGTTTCTATTGCATTTCATTCAGGTGGGGAAAAAAAGAGAAGAGGTAATAATGAATCAGAATTTTGAAACAGCTGAAAGAACAACTTTTGGTATCAGCACAAAACCCTAGAACCAGAAGGAAGATGGTGGAGGAAGAAAAATGAAAGATTTAGTTTGTATTTAAAATAAATGTAAATCAAACAATAAAGCAGTAGTTAAGAGTTTCAGAAAGGTTCTTTTAAATTTTCTAATTGAAAGTTATATTCAGTGGCAACTGTGTAGGAATGCAGTAAAATGTAAGGAGATGGAGAAATGAACGAAGGAAAACAAAGATGGGCCTGTACCTTTGTTCTAGTTGTTTCATAGTTGCATTAATTTGATTGGTTTTATCCTCTAATCGACCAATTATTTCATTTTTTTCTTTCATAGCATCTTCAGAAACCTGTGTTACAAAAAATATTAAACTGAAGTAGGTATACATTACACTGTTATCTTATGGGGTTTTTTTCTTCAATATCTGAAGGGAAAAATGTTAAAATGGCTTCAGGTTTTGATTTTTTTAAAACATCCCCATCTAAAAACTGTAGTTGACAAGTACTTACAATCTTATGCCTAGAAAATTTATAGTTTTGTACTTTGCAAGTGTAGATGCTATTTAATAAGTATATGTTTTTAATTTTGATTTCTTTCCTGAGTTTGCAAGTCAACTTAAATTCACTCATCATCTTTTTAAGTAGCCAATAAAGAACTAAGATGCTTAGTCCTGGAAATCCTAAGGTTCTTCAACTCATATCAAACTACCATGTGCGCCTAACAATCTTTTAAGACTTTTACTAACACATTTCACAATTTTGATTGCTTGCAGAGCTGTTGCAACCAGAGCTTGAAGATCTAAATAGAAGGTAGAGCATTATCCTTGCTACACAATGAACACTATCAACTGGTCCCTCAACAGTAGAGATTGGGCACGTGGGTCTGAATGTCATTAAGTGAAATCAGTGTTACCCACAGTCCTCAAAGCTACAGCTTTAACAAAAAAAAAACCCAACCCTCTCACTCCAGTCAAAGTTGTTTCATCAGTTTAACAGCAGATTGTTCCTTTACCTGCAGCTTTTGGTACATTTCCATGTTAATTGCTTTAACTTCATCAAGCTGCTGTCGAAGGCCTATGAGGGTATCCTGCTTCTCATGGATGTCCTTCTCCAGCAACTTCATTGCAAGTTCTATCTCATGTTTCATACTAACTTGAACCACCAACTCATTCTCCATATCCTAGAAAACACAAAAACAATACAACACAGACTCTTTAAATAATTATGCAACATTTTATCTGTTTTTAAAAAGACAAAGCTAACTCTAACGGAGCTGCAGCACCACCTATTTCACCACTTCAGAAATTCTGCCCCTCTTAAACTTGGCAAATTATCCACTACGTAAACATTACACTCTCTGTATTCAGTGACTGATGCTTTTTTTTTTTCTTTATTAAACTTTGGGAGAAGACAACTCTCATTGTAAGAACTTGACAATGCTGCATAAAGAGTTGCCTAAGTATTAACTACAAAAATAGAACTAAAGGATTTCTATTTTCACAAGAAAGATTTAGCATACAGAGCATACAGTATTGCTAACAACTTACCTAAAATTTTCTCAAAGAAAATCCATTTTCTTTACTATGATTTGGCAACATTCTTACAGAAATACTGATGTATTGATTGCTCTGTTAAAAAAAACCTTTTTACTACAGGCAGTCGGAGAAAAATTGATTATAGCTGAAGGGCAGCACCTAAGCTCAGCAAAAGCAAAACTAGAAATATTTATATATGGATTCTTATCAAGCACAATCTTTTCTAGAAGTGCTGTGTTCCAGAAAGGAATACTTACTTGTCGGAGTTGTGATTCTTCCCGAAGCTGCCTACGTGCTTCATTGTACATTTCATCTAAACCCTGCCTGGAGTGTTTGTACGTCTGAAGCTCTGCTTCAACATCCACTTTAGTTGCCTACAAAGACACAGAGAATCTATCTTTCTTCATCACAAGTTTAGCAGTAAACAGCATACATTGAACACTCATGAGGGGAAAAAAAAAAAAAAGGTTAAAAATACATTCTCTAAGCACAGCACAAACAGGGAAAGAGCTGCTTCTGCTGTGGCCATCAGTTTTACAATGAGAATTAAGTAAATCTAGCAAAATAAACATCTGTACTCATCAGTTTTACAATGAGAATGAAGTAAATCTAGCAAAATAAACATCTGTACTGTTTCAGTACCAAACAATCCAAATACCTGCTTAACCTGTGCTTTTATCAATTAAAACACATACAGGAAGTTACATAAGGAGCTACAAATCACAGCTTAAAGAAAGTTCAGCAATTGTATACACAATTACTCCAATTTTCCTATAATGTCAGAATAGGCAGTTTGCCAACTAAACCACGCGCTACTTTGACAAGATTTTCAGATAATATTGCCTTAAATGCTCTTAGATGCAGCTTACAGTTTAAAGAAAAAAGGAAGAAAAATAGAAAGAATACAAGGAACAATACTATAAGATTTGCATGTAGCTATAAAACAACTTAGTTGTCGATATATACATTATATATAATATATACATATTAATACATATATTATATTGTCGATATATTTATGCCATTATAAAGCTTCCCAGAAATAATAGGTCCCTTCCCTAATAAAAGTTCTTTTAGATTTGGCTCAGCCACTGCTTACTTCAAGTTGTAATGTAAGCACATTCAAATGACAATGATCCACATGACACTACTATGTTAAATACAGTAAAACTAACATACCTCTAGATGATGCTGTGTTTTCATTAAAATAAGGGTATTTTCACTCCTCAATTGATGGTTTTCTTCCTGAAGTTTAATTATATTGTTTTTGGCTATCGCTAACTGGAAAAAAAAAGAAAAGAAAGAGGGGAAAAAAAAAAAAAAGGAAAAGCAGTGTGACCACTTTTGTGAGTAGAAATAAAGAAAAAAATGTTCTGATGAATGCAAAACCATGACATTCTCTGCACTGTTCTTGCAGTCTACCAAACAGAGGTTTAATTCTTTTTAAAGAAAACAGAAAGCTCCTGGTCTTAGTAATGAGTCACTTTTCATTACACATCAGTATGCCTATTCAAGATACTTCATTATTTCAGGTCTGGTAAAGAATACGCTTTCTTTTCATTGCTTCACTATGACTTAAAGACCCTCAAATTCCCTTTCTGCATCCTAAATTTTTTCTTTCCATTTGCATTCAAATATATCCAGTTTTGTTCTTTTTTGGACATCTTACTATATCATATGGAGCAATTTACATAAGAAAACCTCTCCCCGATGAAAGGGAAACATATTTACAAAAGAAAAACATTAAGGTATGTACCGCAGGACCTAGCTATACTGTCAGAATTATAAGCCAGCTGACCAAAATTGGTGGACAGCTGGGCTGATGGCTTGTAAAGGAACCAGAATACTCTGAGAATTAACACCTTAAAGAAATATTTTCCCTTTACCTGGATACATTAAATACCCAGAGTTAGCTAGCCATCCCTTCATTTAGACATCTCAATTTTCTCAATTTTGAGACATCTCAATAGTCATTAACTATTTCCCAAGCAGCTTGGATTAAAAAACCACTGTGCTTTCCTTTGTAAAGCAAACAAACTTGGAATCTAGTCAAGCATCAAATATAACTGAAAATATAGGATATAAATACAAAACCAGAGCTAGACAAGTCTAAAAACTGTATATGAACAACAACTGTAAATAAGCAAAAAACAATCCTTTGGCTAAAGCTGAGAACAATAACAAAAACTGCTTGCTGAACTACTTTCTCTCTCTTCATAGCAACTGGTGTCACCCATTATGGACTAGTCATCTGCACAAAATCAGACTGACAGCTGGCATTCAGAAAGGCTTCTCTTCTCTTTTTGTCCGAAGTGGGAAATTGTGATGTTCCACAAAATTAATTTACTGATGCTGCATGCTACCTAGGCAAGCTGACTTTAAATCCCTGCAGCTACTGCACCTTTTCTTCAAGCCAAAATAGAAGTATCTGAATGTATTACACAGACCTTATGTAGACTAAAAGAATTTAAGTATATTTATAAAACTAGCATTTGAGAGTAAATAGTATCTCTTACACATTACTAAAAAAATAATACCTCTTCAATCAGTTTAGTGTTCGATTTCTCTAGTGAATCAACTCTTGCATGTAGACTGCTAACTGTGCTACTGAAAGAGAAAAAGCAAGAAAAATATTCAAAATTACATCAAAACTCATGCAACTAAGCTCAAAAGCTTCAATGTGAGGTAAAACGATTAATGGTTAAGCACTAAAAGGTCTGCTCTTGTTATCTGAGGTTTTCCTGAATATAAGAAAATTAGTCTCCTTCATTGAATGTTTATTTCCAACTCCCAATGTCATCCCTGTCATTTAAACTCCTGGACAGGAGTGACTTCACATTTCTCCCTTTCCTTTATCCTCCCAACTATAACGTATCCAACTGTTTAGTAAGTTCACTTGAAAGAAAGTTTGCAATCTTCTTGGTTCCCTCTCCAATAAAATGAAAACTATTCTCCCAGTTCTCTTCCTCCAAAATCCATTTCTTTTATAAGATTATTTGCTTCTCTGCATTTTTTAAGTTTTAACCTCAGGTTACATATTTCTTGATACTATTTGACTTCATTTGTAATCTTACCAGAATTTAATTCCTTTTGTTACTCTGTGTTTTTTTAATCTCATCAAACTATGTCCAGGCCTTCACCATTACCTGATGGTAATTAGCCCATTTCTGCTCTAACCCCATTTTTTTAGGCTACACTTTACGCACAGAAAAACTCTATTCTGTAACACTGTTTGGTTTTCCACGTATTTCTACTGTGCTGTATTTGATGCACTCAGTTATTGTGTCCTGTTGAAGATTTCTGCTCAGTGACTGACACAATTTCAAGTTAGAATATCCTTACCTCAACAGTAGCCATATAGTCACTATCAAGATTATTAGCATTAAAAATGAAAAAATGTGATTACGCTTCAAAAAGGGATCAAGAAGATGAGCTATACTACAGATTCTACAAAAGTAGGTCTTTGTGGCTTTGTTGGGTCTTTATCCTTTTTTAACTCCTTGCACTGTTTAATTTTGTGCAATACTCTCCAGAGAATTACAATCACTGATCCTCCATTTATCCAGTAGCACGCACAGTGATGGACTGGGGTGGATCCACCCAGCAAAGTAAGGGGGAGAGGCTGCTTTCCTGAAAACTCTTTTACAGGAACCACAACCTACACTGGGTAAGTAGTTTCCAGAATGAACCTATTCAGTTTCGACGCTAGGCATTTAAGCTACAATCCAAAATATTATGAAAGGCAAAGAAACAAAACCATGCAGATTCATCCAGAACACTCAATAATGCTTTTTGAAGACTGCTAAACAGAATGCAGTTAAAATCCAGATCCAGCTTTTCATCCCTGTGAAGTTATGAATCATGAGGATCTTGATCAGTTTTGACTTGATGTTTTTAATTACTTCAAAGAATAAAGGTTTTGACTTGAAAACAAAAGCATGAAAACTGAGACTTCCTGACTCTCTCCAGAAGAGCGTATCCTTTCCAACTTCACTACATCCTCAGTCCAAACATGAAGAATTTGCCCCCCTTTGTCTGAAGTTCTCTCTCACAAAGCAGTGGTACAAAAGGAATGAGAGATGTTTTACCTGTAAGCATGGACTGATACGCATACTTCAAAGTAATACTTACTTCAGCTGTCTGTTTAGTTCTTCAACATAATTCTTTTGGTCCAAAATTGCAGCAATCTGTACATTTCTAAAGCAAACACAAAATAAAATCCCCTTTAACAAAATGATACAATGAACTATGTACTGAAAATACACATATCTACCTATCATATGCAAAAGTCCATCTTAATTGTGCTTTTTGAAAAGAAAGGAACCAACTTCATCCCACAATCACGAAGTCAATAACTTACATGTTGTGATGTAAGGGAGAGACAAAAAACCCCAATGCTTTCACTGCAAACAATTTCTCTACGTGAAACATAAGAATATATACAATCTCAAAAGAAAAGGGATATTTATTTACTTTGCCATAACTCTGGTTCTTTGTAATGCTGACTAAGTCTCAAGCTGAGGGCTTAAAGGTTACCAGGTTCTTTTTCACCTCCACTTTGCAATCCTGCAATAGGGTCCATCAGGTAAAGGAAGTAGGTGATGTTGCTGAGGCTTGCTGCAGAGGGCAAATATTTGTCCAACTAACTAGTAATACTGAACAACATAGTGCAAAATTTTTCTCTAACACTGTGAGATTAGAAAACTTCACCTTCAGGGAACCTGATTTATTTCTACAAAGAACAGGGCACCAGTCAAGCAATCACTTGTTAACATACAAAATCTGAGTTATTTGGTGAGGACATACCTTTCTTTACCACCAATGTCATCATCACTCTTCAAATACATAGAGAAATCAATCACCCCAACCTAGGGGAAAGCAAACATACACAGTTTCACATCAGATGAGTAACTGCTGTTGATATTCACAGTCTTGTATCTACTTAATTAGTAAAACCTCAGTTACATCAGCTTTTTTAAAAGTGGTCAAGTTTCAGCCAGAAGCTCAAAAAACTGAACCGTAACATTTTAAACAAGTTTCCCTTTTATTTTTTTTTATTTTTGAAGTGTAGTCTCACGTATTTTTTAAGAATTATGGTACCTTTGAACAAAATTAACCATGTGCCAGGTACCAAATCCCAAAGAAAAGACTTTTTTCCTCTGACTGAAGCTTACAAGACCTTACAGGAAGACTTTCATTTGGGGAATTATCAGACACTACTCAACCCTATCACTGATTGAGCAGACCTGTGATGTGTCTGCAGCGTTTTATGTGATTTCCTATCACAGCACATCTCCCAAACTGATGTTCCCCCACATGTTTAGCTTTTCAATATTCCTTGCCAAATAATGCTACCTCTCCACACTTGCTGATCCCCAGGTGTGCCAACTCAGCTGCATTCAGTTTTTCAAACCATCTGAATCCAAATCCAATTAATTTATTTTCTATTCAATTGCAATTTAATCATATATACTATAAATAGCATTACCATGCATTCTGTTTCCAACTCTACTCATTCATTTCTAGCAAAAGTATTTAATCCTGTTTGCTTTACCAAAACACTTCCTTTTTGGTCTCTAGCAGCCCCTTCACAAAGTATTTCAATTTTTCTGATCTACTGCTTCCTTCTTGAGCTCCCTTCAGCTTTTGAATACAGGTGACTTGCTAAGTCTAACATTTCCTCAATTTGTACAATGTGTACCATCAGCTTCATATGATGATCTTCTACTTGTTCTTTCTGTATCTTTTCTACAAAGTCTCTCCAAAAGTTTAAAAAAAAAAAAACAAAACATATTTTGCTTATTAAAGCAAAATACAATTTCTATGAAAGAATAAAATGTTATCTCTACAAAAATTACCTTGTTTTAATTCTCCCTGTGTGCATACACACATTTCACCAGTGAATAGCATTCCTCTAACTTACCAAAACTACACTCCATGATGCGACTTCCATCATCCTTCAGAAACTTCTCTCTCCACTCAATACAACTTGCTTCTCCTGGCTTATCTGAGAAGGTGCCTTATTTACACCACTCTTCCCAAACAGAATTACTTTAAAATCTCATCGGGACAGCCACTACTACCTTCTCAAATCAAGTTTTATGCCCCCTCACACCAAAGCCACCAAGTGACCCAGATAACAAATGTGTGGCTAGCAACAGATTTTGTGATTTATAATAGATATGTATCATTCTCAATACAAAGAAAAGCATGGTGATAAGTTTTCTATAATTACAGGACTTTAAATATCATGTATGCAAGGTTGGTACCTAAAACCTTAGACAGTAACTAGAATAAACAACCAAAGACAAGTTAGCCCTATGATTCACATTCTTTGCCATAAAAATTGCTTTTTCATCAAATATATGCTGAAATGCAGTAGATAATCACTTAAATTATTATGATTTTTTCTACAAAGAAGCTGGACAAAACCAATCAGGACTGAACACAGCCTATGTTTGTTTATAAATGCTTGTGCATCTGCCTTTAAAAAGACCCCATCAAGATTTTCTCGGAAAAGATCAAAGTCAAAGCACTTTGCAAAGGAGGAAGAATTCTAAGTCTTGTTTTGCAGACTGAAAGCAGTCACCCTTTTATAAGGTCTTTTATTACACTATGCAAAGCAAGTTTGTCTTTCAGGTCCTTGAAACATTCCTATTATGTTCCAGAACAACAATAAATGAACCAAGTGGGATAAAGAGATCATGGAAATACACTTTTCCTGCAAAGGAAAAGGATGAGTTGCACAACTGAGATGGAACGAACTCTGCATTGCTAATACTGCATCCATTTGATGACAAAGCAGAAAACTTTACCCTTGCACTCTGACAATTAGCACCGTCTAAAGGTCTGACCCAACGGATACAGAGCTTAATGCAACAGCCCCCGCTGATCCAGGAGCTGGATTGGGCACTAAACACTCTGCAGGAAGATTTCTAACAAGTCATAACTCCACAGCAACAAGATTCACTGTAAATAAAAATCTTACACATTGCATGTACATTACTTTACCTGTATTGACTTACTTGTGAATCTAGGTCTTCTCCCTTCACACACAGGTTAGCATCTATCACATTTAACCCAACTAATAGCCCAACAATAACTGCTCCTTCTTCCTCCATCATGAGCGCATGATACTCATAAAATTCACTGTTAAAGAAGAAAATTGCACCTTATTGGTATATTCAGTATATTTACATGCAATAAACTAATAATAAGTGACATCTAAATCTGAACTGTTTTTCTTATTTTAGCCTTACTCCAACATCTTTAAAGATGAACTGGGTCTGCTCACACTTTCACGTCATAAATATTTAAAAATTGAAAGAGCATGGTTTGTCTCAGAGGCTATTACAAACAAAGATACTACCCTTGGCTCCAGAAATCTAAGCCACAAACTGTTGGAAGGCTGGGAAATCTGGGGGGCAAGACTTATTTTGCCTTTTTTAAAAAAACAAACAAACAAACAAGAAAAGGCTCTTCACTTGCTATTAGCCACTTTTGGACAGAATACTGAAACATGGATATTTGGCCACGTTGAGTGAGAAGACAATTCTTATGTTGTTCAGAAACACCAGAGAATGCAAAAGAAGGATGGTAAAAAATTTACCTTGTGTGAAAAAAGTTCTGAACTTTAATGAACACATGCTTCAAATTAATTCAGCCAAATAAGAGATCAAATGGGTAAGAGAAATGGAAAGGGCTGAAATTCTGAAAAGGTTTGTAAACAAGAAAAACACTCCACTAATTAACAGAATACCAGCATTAACTTGCTCCTCCTTGCATTTTTTCAATAAAGTTTTAGACTCTGTGAAGCAAACTGTGCTTTCAAGGGCAAAGTCCACAGCTGCAGAACACCAGTGTCATCCTGACATACCAACGTTATCTAAGCGTGCAAGAAAAGTTTTAAAAATATGTCTAGGTTGTAGAACTGAAACTAAGATGGCAAGTCGATTTTTCCCCTTTGTGCTACCCCATCAGAAAAGAGAAGCTATGCTAGAAGAGAGCAATGCCAGTTTTAGAACTGTGAAAGGAAGGGAAGGTTCAAGGCAATCGTCCTCCGTGCAGTGGTAGCTCTGTAGGAAACCACGCAGGTGGCAGAGGTGAATCTCTCTCCTCTCCAGAGGTTTCTAGTCCATATTCTGGCATGGTGCAGCAATTCCCCATCACCCTCACCTATGAAAGATCAGTCAGGCACGTTGCAGAACGCCCTCCCTACATGATGGGGAGGAAACACCTCTTCTCCTGTCAGCTGGCCCTCAAGCCTGATGAGGCACATACAGCAGGGGTGAATCTCTCTCCTCTCCAGAGGTTTCTAGTCCATATTCTGGCATGGAGAACATGATGGGGAGGAAACACCTCTTCACCTGTCAGCTGGCCCTCAAGCCTGATGAGGCAGTGGTGTTGGATCCCTCTGAAGACTGGAAAAAATCAGCCCAGAGGCCCTTGCTACACCACGGATACATTAAAAAGTAGCACTCTGAAGACTGGAAAAAAATCAGCCCAGAGGCCTTTGCTACACCACGGATACATTAAAAAGTAGCAAATAGAAAACAGGATTTATTTTTTTTTTTCAGGAGACTAAACCCCTAAAAATAGCTCTGTAGGAAACCACACATACAGCAGGGGTGAATCTCTCTCCTCTCCAGAGGTTTCTAGTCCATATTCTGGCATGGAGAACATGATGGGGAGGAAACACCTCTTCACCTGTCAGCTGGCCCTCAAGCCTGATGAGGCAGTGGTGTTGGATCCCTCTGAAGACTGGAAAAAATCAGCCCAGAGGCCCTTGCTACACCACGGATACATTAAAAAGTAGCAAATAGAAAACAGGATTTATTTTTTTTTTCAGGAGACTAAACCACTAAAAATAAATGATAAACAAAATCTACTGAATTGTTTACCTGAGAAGATCTCTCTGAATGATTAAACATCGAAGATAGTCGGCCATTTTCTTCTGCATTAGTGCTAACCGTAACCAAGCCCGGGCACGGCCCAGTGGTGTTCTGAAAAAAAGAGCATGAAGACAAACAGTCCCAAATGAGGCTGGACTAGATGACCTCTAAAGGTCCCTTCCAACCCAAATTATTCTATGATTCTATGAAATCAACAATATATCAATTAATTCACTGTCTATAAACATCAGTCTATTGGTACAGTGATTGGTATTTTTGAAAGGACAGTTTAAACTGTTAGTTGAGCAGTGCACCTGGGAAGCTATAAATTCCAGGCGTTGACTCCAAGCTTTGAGATAATACCAGAAAAATTTTCATCAACTCAGCTGGGCTTGGGAACAGACCTTGGAAAGAACTGAAGCAGAAAAAGCACAAGAGCCTGATCGTAAAATTAACTGTTTTGCTCGGAGAGTGAAAACATGCAACTTTCTATACACTGTTGTATTTCAGTGTGCTTTGTTCTGACATGATACACAGCTAGCAGCATGGAAAGAATTTTTAAGAGTGGTGCTGTTTTCCTCTATGTACCTTCTTCTTAACCTAACAGTGCCTGAAAAGAGCATCTTGAAAGTCCTGTTTCTAGCTGAAGTAAAACGCTGGTGACAATTCAGATTCCCTTCTGCAACTTGCTTAACAAGTGTTCAGAGGAATTGTGAGAAAAGTAACCAAAATGTCCATTACAGCTCCCCAATGTCCATTACAGCTTGCCTTCCCAATCCTGCTCTCTGGGTGGCCAGCTTGCCTTCCCAATCCTGCTCTCTGGGTCTACACAACACACACTGAATTCTAGCTTGAACTCATACTTGTTTACAAACTCATTGGTATCTTAGAAGGACAATTAAGAAAAAGATGAAAAAGGATGTAACTGGCAAACATAAATAGCCATCAAATTAAACCTGGACCTTTAGATCTTCCACTTCTACTACTTGCATACTTAGAAGTGGTAAGCACATAAATGCAAAAAACCCCACCAAAACAAACCAAAAACCCGCACAGACAGGAAGAGTGTCATGTACTTGGCAAAGGGTATTATTTCATCTGGCCTGATACAAGAGTAAATAATAATTTATATACCTATGTGCTTTAGACAAGGTCTAAAGCTGTAAATTATAACCCTTAAGCTGCCATATGCCAATCACAATGTACCCAAACCCTTTTGGAATTTCAGGTACAGCCAATTATAAAGCTAAATGCAAAAGCAGGGTGCGGAGGAATGGGAGGAGATTGCAGTTCACAGCATAAATTTGCATTTGAGAAGGATATTACACCCAAGAATCTGAAAAGCTGCCTAATACTTTCCTCTTCAGTATGTTACCTTTTGTTTTTATAGAGCCTTTGCTTGACTAGACTGACGTGTTTGCTGCAGTTCAGGACCACAGACTGTTTGATACACAACCTATTCCGTTTTCGTCCACTATTCAGAAAACTTTTCTCCCAGGAACATCAAAAAAGAACACAAAAATATGACTTTTTGAGCTGTTTTGTGCTGGACATGAAAAGCTAGCAAGATTTACCTGTGCTCTCCCACAATATCATGTGCTAGCTGTTCAAGGGTTTGATTAATGCCAAATAAAATCATGAGACATCTGCAAATTCTCAATCAGGTCCTTTATTTTCCTGCTGTATTTTACCAATGGTACTTACTTAAGGCCAGGCAAATCTCTGACACTTGCTGCTATTTCCTCAGCTTCTGGATATAATTTCTCCACAAGTTCCAGAGGACCCCAGATGGTTTTATTGTAACTTAGAAAGGATTTTCTTACTAGGAAAAAAAAAATTTAAGTAACTGAATTAATTTAAATGACTGGAGTAGCTTCCTTTAAAATAGCTGATGTGATAAAAGGGTTAACTGCTGAGCCTAGATTTCCAGATAAGAGTGACACTTCTCAGTTCTCCCTACCCAAAGACATCTTCTGAATTACTTTGCTTTGCTGTGAACATAAAGTTGCTGAGCTAGAATAAAATAATACTAAAAAGGATGACTAGCTAAAAATGTAAGCTACATACATGCAGTTGTGGTAATCCCTGGACCACTTACAACAAACAGTATATAAAGAAAATGTTGGTAAATGTGGAAATACATGTTGTGAAGTATTAATAATGACGCTATTAATTATAAAAGGTGACAATTTACATATTTTCTTCACTTCTTAAAATAACGTACCACACTTTGATTTTATGTCATTCAAGCAAGAAAGGAAGAAAAATGGCATGTCTGGGATGAAATCTGCAGCTAGAGCAATTACCACACCTTTAAGGCCGTGCTTCAGACAGTGCTCCATGACTACAAAAAACTGCTGCAAAGGTGGGTAGTCAGAATCCAGAGTCCGGCCAAAGCTCAAAGCTGATTCAATGAGTCCTTTGATACTCAGTTTAGCCATGTTCAGTAAATTTGCTCTTTCTACGGCTGTAGGATCCTTTACGGCTAAGACAATAAAGAAAGAAAAAAAAAAGTTATGGTTCAAGTTTCGGAAGAGATGCAAATAAAATAAAAGTTGTAGGGTCCTTTACAGCTATGACATGAAAGAAAAAACCCAAAACGTTATGATCCAAGTTGTAGAAGAGATACAAAATAATAAAATCCTTCATGGCCACATTGTTAAAAAAAAAATTTGTATTACTCTAGATAAAGGAATAATTTAGCAAATGCTATAAACCACCACATTATAGAAAAGCATCCACTCTAACAAACATCCTTACAGATTTTGAATTAGCTTAATAGCTGGATGAAAAAATGAGGGTGGAAATGCCAGTTGTCAGGCACCGTGTTGTCTCAGCACATCCAGGAAACAGGCAGTAACTGCAGGTTAACACAGGCATCACCACAGGCTGCGCCCAAAAGCTCAGCAATGATGGCCCTCACCGTGATATTTTCTACACAGGTAAGTTTAAGAACTAAAGGTTTTGCTCTAACATAACAATGTTTTCGGTAAGTTTTGCAAAACATACACTACAAAACCCCATAGCTTTTAAAAATCATTTTAATCTGACAGAATGGACATGGTTCCTCTTCTCAGAGCTCCTGCTACTGAAAGCAGAGCATTCAGGAGATTCTTAGTTTATTTTCACTTGTAATGAAGCAGTTCAAACATTCAGGCCACCCTCTGCTTTGCCAAACTGAGAGAGAGACAAAACAACCCTCTGTTTATTCACTATGATCAAAGTAACTCGGAAAGAAGCAAAAAAAAGTGGATGATTTACTGTTTCCTGCAATTAACTCTAACACATGAAGTAAAAAAATCAAACAAATGAAGAACACAGATCACCTTTTTTAAAACCCTGAGACACAGATGTTAAAATATCTATGCAGATTTGTGTCCGGAAAAAAACGTGAGCCCCTTCCTCTCTCTGCAAATTTCAGTACTGGTGTACGACCTTGTCTCTTTGCACATGAGAAAGCACAAAGAATTGCATACATTAAAACCCAAAACAAAAAGAAAAACCCTCAGTCGTTCTAACAGATGAACGCTTTCTCATTTCTTCAAATGGCAATGAAATGACTTGTCTCATTTCTCACATACCACAGCTTTAGGTGTTTAGGTATTAGATATTAGAAACTCAGAAGATTATTTCCTAATTTTGCCTGTCAAATATCAAATTACTCTGTTACCGTAAAATACAACCTAGCTCAGTTCTCTAGGAAAAAGAAATATATATGACTGAGATGCTATACCTGAGAGAGCCTTAAAAACTAAAGTCTTTCAACGTACCAGTACTTCAACAGATAACACTTTATAAACGATGACCGAGGCCGCAGCAGACAATTAGCAACAGTGCTCTGGCACAAATCTGCCCAGTTAGCAGTCAGAGCTCACTGGTTTGCCACCGGGGACTGGACCAGCCCCACCGAGAGCAGGACCCGTCTGGAAGCGGTGGAGGCTGGTGGCAAGAGGGGCATTTCTGTCAGTAAATCTCACCTCACGCCTCCTGCTCCTGTGAGAGGTTTGCTGTTGTGTTACAGTACTAAATACAAATGTTATTGTGGAAAAAAAAGCCTCGCTAAATCCAGACTTCAGGATGACAGCTCTCCCTCCCCAGGTATTCAAGTCTATCTGCCCAAAGGCATCTTACAAATTCCTTTTTCAGGTGACCTCATTTTGACTTTTGGAGCTGATCCTTCCCACAGACAGACAGAATGCCACCTCCACACTCCTTTTCATCCCCAGGCCTCTTGCCTGCTCTTTCCGAGGCACAAACACATTTTAGGCCTGTTTTAATGTATGGTTTACCTCCATATAGCCATTTTCCTTCACCTGCTTCTTAAAAAAAAATAAAAAAATAAAAAAATTGAGAAATTCAGGCGGCAGGTTCTCTGGTAACTGCAGCTGAGGGACTGCACAGGGTGGACTGCACATGGAAAAGGAGCTCTGAAGGGCTGTTCTCACCCCAGAGGGACTCTTTGCAGATGGCCCCGATGTCGCCAGCCCCCCCAGAGCCCGACTGGCAGAAGACAATACTCCTCTCCCAGCCAAACCCTCACTGCAAACGCTATTTTTGAAAAATAAAACAAAACAAAGCAAAAAAAAAAACCCCACAAAATACGAAACAAAGCCCCAGGAAGCCAAGCGTGCAGCTGCCACAGCTTTAGGCTGCACACGCTCTCCCTGTGTCACCCCGCACAAAACAAGTCTTCTCCTCCCCTGAAGCGTGATCACCACCACAACCCACCCCCGGGAGCGCTCCCCCGCCACAACGCCCCCCCTTTCCGTGCCCGTCACCGCGGCCCCCAGCCCCGGGGAAGAAGGGAAGGGGCGCCGCCAGCCTGACAGACCCGCGGGGCCGGAGGCCGCCCCCCGCCGCAGCGGACATTTTGCCAGGCTGCTCGCAGCCGTTACCCCCCGGCGACGGAGGGGCTGAGGGGCGGCTGCCGCCGCGGGCTCCCTTCTCCCCCTCCGCCAGCCCCGGCGCCCCCCGCCCAGCCCGGCCCCGCTCCCCGGGAGCCGCGGCCGCCGCTCACCCATGGCTGGAGAGGAGGAGCCACCACCTGGGCCGCTCCCTGCGGGCCCCGCGGCTCCTCCCGCCGCCGGCACCGGCCCCTCCGCCCGCGCCCCACAGCGCCCCCCGGCGGCCGGAGGAGCGCGCTGGGACCCGGCGGCCACCGCCCTTGCAGGGAAAGGGCATTTAAACATGGAGCAGTCCCAGGAGCCAGGCTCTGATGCGACCGGGCTGGCACGGAATTGCCTTATTTTAAGGGGTTTTTAAGAATCCAAAGAACATATAATGCACTAAAGCAGTGATGAGCCTGTACTGTATGTTTTGCAGCTGCACCAATGACTGTTCCTGCATTAGAAAGATGCTTTAAAGGCAACAAAAATGTTATTCTTCTTACTTTTACAAGGTATTTTTTTGTGTGTATATATATATCTCTATATCAATTAGAATGCAAGAGCATTTTAGACACTCACATCTCACTTCTGCTTGAAACTACCCCATCCAAACACTGTTTAAATCTGTATGTCTCTGCTCAATCCAATTTTTAGCACACAACAAAAAAAAGGAGGCAATAGGGTATTATTCTTGGGCTTGGTTCTCGTGCAAATTTGTGGAGGCATGGCAATACCTCTAATTTAATTACTTAATCATTTTCTTAGATAAGCACAATGTGGTGTAAGAAAATAAGCAAGCTACACCTTAGAAATCTTGTACACATACATCCTAAACATAAGAAATAAAAACTTTTCTATGCTTTTCTGAAATCACTACTGGAGTAAGAGTCGGGTTTTGGTTTTTTTTTCAATCACACACACAGTTGATAAAGTGTGCATTTTCACCTGAAAAAAAAGGATATCCTGACAACTATTCAAAGTATACTTAATACAATACAAATACTTTGACCATTAAAAAAATAAACAGCTATAACAAAAGCAACATTAAATTTTTATTATTTCAAACATTACAAAAGTTAAGGTTTAAAAGAGCAGTTAAAGTGCCCACATTTAACATCTGGAAGTTTGTCTGCAACTGTATGCACACAACTACTTGACATTGATCAAAGAGAAAACAAATATTAATGATCTTGAAGAATTAAAAAATGTCATGCTTCCCACCAGCAACTTAGAAAGAAACTTCTCAGTAATAGTCTAGAGTATGAGGTAAAGAAACTAGCCCTTCTGTCAAGTGAAGGGTATTTTGTATTGTATCCATGCTATCACCTTTATAAAAACATAGGACCAAAACATATAAACATCTTAGTTCTCAAGCTGCATCACTAGTTTGGTTTCTTGGGAGTTATTTTGTTTGTTTTGGGGTTTTTTTGGTTTTTGGTGGTTTTTTTTTTGAAGACAAGACTACAGGTCTGACAAACTGCAACTAAAGTTTTACTGTGATCTTCAGCTGGGCAACATTTCACTTCAATGGATTTATCAGCTAAATACCTTAGTTCATGACAAGGAGTCCAGTGAATACACATCGCATTTCTCCCAGATGTATGCAAAGTTAGAAAAGTCATCAAGGGATCTTCATATGAAAAATTAATTACAGTATGTATATAAATATAAAAGACTTCAGAATTTAAAAAAACCAGAAACACGCTTTAAAGAATGTGAAGCTCTCAAGAACAGAAAAAAGTTTTTCCTATATTTTTTTTCCAAACAGCACAACACAGCCTCTTACTTCGGAATTCTAATAAATGGAATTACTGTATGTAAACTGCAGTTTTAAGTCTTTAAAACCAAATGGTTTTAAATGTCAGAAAACTGACACAATGCAGCACAAGTTTACTCCCCTCTCCTCCTCAAGTGTTTCCCCAGTCACTTATGCAGGTAACTGTTTATCAAGATAAAAGTGAATATAGCAGTAGATATCCAGTACCTGAAGGAATAGAGTACTCATTCTTCTGGTTTGGTATAAGTGCCCCAGTACTAACATATCCAGCTTAACAATCACTTTAAAATAGAAATGTGTATTATTTTAAAGCTTTCCTTTTGCTAAAATAAGAATCAAATGTGATCTCTGCATTGGCTTGATTCAGATTAAGCAGTGCACACATCAGCACTCACACCCTACTAACCAGTTATTTACATTAAGCAGCACCAGAAGAAAATATACAAATGCTTCTAAAACTCTCCATCTTCTCCATCATAAAATGTTACACTTGTGGATGCTTTCATGAGCCCCTGCTGGAAGATTGAAGATGTAGGAAGTTAAGGAAGCATTTTGATAACATAGCACTTGCACAAAAAACACAAAACCTGTTTGAAGATGTAATGGCGTGTGCAAAGAAAGCAGCTAATGAGGTTTTTCCTATTTAAACAGGAGATGGAAACTGCCATAGCTGGAGCAAACTCAGTACAATGCCAGAGAGAAAGCAAAAAAAGAAATTAACAAGTCATCTGAAAGTTACACCATCTTCCATTCTAGCAACACTATTCATGCACCTTTCTCTCACCAGATGTGTTTAAATGCACAGTACTTCTGAGGAAAACATTCACACTGACACTAAGATGCTAGGAAGCTAGAATGATAAAAAATGCAAAAGCATTCAACATTAAGAATTCAGGCCTCAAAATTAAATTATGTCAAAGTTGACTTGCAAATAATCATGGACTTTGCTTTTGAAGACAGCGAAGGTTCAAAATCCATGTATTAGCTTGTTCTCAAGTATATTTTGGCATATTTAACTAGCACATTTTGTATTGTGTTGCAAATCAGTGTTAAAAGTACAACTTGATTAATCGAAGATCTTCCCCTCCTTATCTCAGTAGGTCATTCTTACCTTTCCCCTTTCACAAAACAGCATGGAGAAAAAAAGGATATCATTGCCTGAGACCTCAAGTGGCAGAGCAGCTTCTCTAAAGGCGGGTAGCGGCAGAGGGACGGAACGCAGCCCACCATAATCAGTTTGTGCTTGGCTCTTGTGATAGCAACGTTAAGGCGCCGCCAGTCCTTCAGGAGGGCACCAAGCTGTCAAATAAACATACTTTGCTTTTATTGTTCCTACTTACATTTCAGAATTTAATGTAGATAAATAAACATAATTTGCTTTTCTTTTTTCCTACTTACATTTCAGAATTTAATGTAGATGAAAACCTCAAAGTGCACCTGACTATTAAGATTGACTGAAATGAAGTGAATATGACCTACTCACATTTTCGTCATTACTGTTCCTAACAAAAGACACAATTATGATACTTTTGTCTCTTCCTTGGTATTTATCTACAGTGTTGACTTCCACTCTGGTCTCCTTCAGTTTTGCCATCAAATCAGTGATTGTTTTTAATTGATGCCTGTATGGTGATATAACACCAATGTCTGAAGGCTTACAGCCAGCCTGAAAGAAGAAAAAAAAAAATTGTCACTGCCGTTAGCTTGGAACCCTCATTGCTGTCAGCATACCCTCAAGAATTTTCTTTCTTTTTTTAAACAGTGTTGCAAGATACTGTGTTTACATTAAATCATTAATGAAACTTTAGGTATAACTGGTATTAACTAAAGAAAATAGAAAATACTAGTTACTGCAAGCTCCCAAGCTCTGTCTTAACCTAGTACAAAGAGAGACATCCTTGAAATCCGCATTTTTATTTCTTCCTCAAGCTGTGAGGTGAACATTGAGAGCTCCTAGTCTGTACTGCTCCTGAAGCTGACTGGATTAAATAAGGAAGAAAGACAAATCTTCTCCCCTCCCTCCCTTTTACCCTCCTGAATTTACCCTTCAGATTATACCTCAAAGAATAACCCAATACATATAATAGCTACTACTATAGCAAAGGCCAAATGATTATAAAGCTGTGCCTCTGAACAGTGTAATGAAGTAAAAGATACCTTAATAAATAAGGATGTGAGGAAGAGTACTAGTTTGGCTTCTGTCAAGTTGCTTACACCACCTTTTTCTGCATGCTCGGGGGCCGGGACCTTTAAAAACATAAATGGAAAATAATATTTCTTGCTGTCTACAATGACATACCATATTCAGAACCCTAACTCATCACATGTGTTTTTATAGTACAGTTTTAATAAAATAAGGCGAAACACTACATTTTACACAATATAAGAACCTATACTGTAAAGTAACTTCAGAAAACTGCATTTGCAAAACAAGTTGAAACAATCTGCAGAACCAATTTTCTAGTACTAACAAGTCACCTTAAAGAAACAGACAAAGCTTGATCATCTGACTTTACACTTCACACAACATCTGTCATAGGAAAAAAAAATATAAATGGACATTTCCCAGCCTGACAAGGTAAGAGTACAAACTGGATTTTATACAGGACTTATGTTTTAAGTCAATTTTCCCCATTTCCATGGCAGAAAGGATTTCTTCTAAGTGTGATCTCTGTTTGATGCCTAGCACACTAATGCACTGCAAATGAACAAACAAAAAAAAAAGAATAGTCTGAGACTGACAAACCCATATACAGAAAATCTTTTCCTCCATATTAGAAGATTCCATTGCTTTTTCCAAATCAGCAGTTTCTCCATAGCTTGTGTCTCAACTGCTACACAGCTTAATACTTACTGTTACCTAACTTGTTTTCACACTGCCATCATGCATTCAGTCCAACTGGTGTTACGATCAAAACTGAATTAAGCTATCCTGTTAGAGCTGTGCTGGTTTGGCTGGGTGTTTGTTGGGTGTTTTAAATTTAATTATCTGAAAACATCATACCTAAGAAGCCTCCAAACTTGCATGCACTCAAGTCTTCTTCAAGCAGAAAAGCACCACATTTTTTCCAATCAGTTTCTTTGCATAATTCTTATCTAGTCTAGAGTTGGGTTTTTTTGGCAAAAGTTTGAGTGTCTATGAAAGGACACATCTAAACCAACTTACTCCTCCCTCACACTTCAGCATCTAGAACTCCTGCAAAATTCAAAGGAGAATTATAGTTATCCCTGCCACAGCACACAGCTTAGACACCGCTGACCCTCAGCCACCAAAAGTGAGGTCATTCCACGGTTGCAAAGGCAGCAGTGTGGCTACACACTTTGAACTCATTTCTGCACATGAAAACAAAGGTTATAGTACATCAATATTATCTGAATTAAAGTTTTCAGCTGTTCTTAGATGCAATGTTGATCAG